CAAAAAAAAATTTAAAAAAAATCTGATGAAATTCTGTATCTGGAAGTGAAATTAAGTTATTCTGTGGAAAATATTGTACTTAGTTGAAATGTGAAATAAAAACTACTATTTAAAAATGTATGTATCGTCTGTGACAGAATAGTACATCTGTCCTAGGTCAGTGACAACAATACAGCAATGAATTTTTAAACTTCGTTGTGAACAGAAGGAGGACACCACCCTTCAGTACAAATCCCCTTCCTTTCAGTCTTGCCCTACATACCTACATTCATGTGCTCAGACTGAAGTGTGTAAATGTTTAATGAGTCTCTCCCGGGTCAGCTCCTGTTAATGTGTGTGCATAGCAGCCTGCAGAATTTAAATCTTAGTTTCTGGCAGAGTGCCTGTAGGTTTTAGTATACTATAAGGGGGTAAAAAAAGAAGCAAGCTGCCATTGAAAGCTGGTGAACTGACACAGCAGACAAGCTGCAGCCTATCGTGAGTGTAAAAATATGCCTGCTAAACCATATTTAGACAAGCTTTTTGGGCATGCACTCTTCCTTCCATTGCAAGAGTTACTGGTTTGAATTCATTTTTCATCGGGTAATTGACATTTAAAATGTTTTCAAATGAATATTATTTAATAAAACAAAACAGTGAGGAGTTAAATGGATGACAAGGCTTATGCTTACATCAGGTTAGGGATCCAAAGACCATGCTGCAAAGAGGGGGTTGGAGGCTGAAAGTCAGTTTACCATCTTGCTTTTTGCTGTTGTTTGTGCTGGGGGAAGGGGAGGCAGCTCCTGGACAGTTTTATTCTGCAGGGCTTTGTGATTCTCCTCACCCCTGGAAGCTTCAGGGGACAGCTGGAGACACAGCAGGCAGCTTTCAGTTCAGTGGAGATGGGGGGAAATGTGCCAATGACTGCTTTCTGTCTTGCCCAGGCAAATTTACAAATGAAGGAACTGCTAAGAGGAAAAAATGTAGTCTTTGAAAAAAATTCAGATGAACTTTTTAGGGATTTTCAGTTTCTTACGAGCACTGACACAGTAGGAAATCCATTCCCCTTGCAGCTGCTGGATCTCATGGTGACAGTTAAGAAAATGCGGATGTGTTCCCTGGAACTTGGCAGAAGTCACTCACTGAATGCCTTTAACACAGGCCATCAAGCTACTTTCATCTGTAATCTTCCTTTTTTCTTTCTTTTTTCCTCACTGAGCTATAATTGAAGTAACACCTTTAAAGTACTAGCAATGTTTTCTTAGTTTCTTGACATCATCTGTCTTTTCTGCTAAATTTTAAGCCCATGGTGGTAGAAAACATTCTAGTTCCCTTCACAAAATAGCAAGCAGAGGGAAATGCAAGTGTGTGTTTTAATCCTACTTGAAAACAAAAGTTGTGTTGTGGGAAGCCTTTGAATCCTTTGTGTGTGCTGATTGTGGGTAGAGATGTCTGAACTCCATCCAAAGACATGTAGAGGGCACTGTCATGTTTACTCAACATCTGGGAGGCACACCAGCTTTCCTGGAAGTCATCTGGTGCAAAAGCTGCTCAGAAGTGGCGCTTTGAGGTCTGTCTGAGAGCCACCACTGCTGCAGGCTAAAAAGGACGAATTCCCTGTGCAAGGGAGTCTGGCATCTTTGGTGTGGTTGGAAGCAATGGAAGAGAGTGGCTTTTGAGCTGCATCAGTCAGAATCTAAATAACAGAGAAATCAATGCACGGGAGAAATAAACCATGTCCTTTAAGTAAACAAGGCTGGATCACTTCCTCATTCTGATAATCCTTTAAAATCGATGCTGTTTTATTCCCACTACATTTGCAGCATGCAGCTCACCATTGCAGGCAGGGTTTATGAAAGTTAGAAAAATGCAGAAGAAGGGCTGGTTTATTATTATTCCAACCCTAAACCTGTGCCAGACTGTTAATGTCTTGATGCTTATTCAAGTGTCAGGGAGGGCTGACAGATGTCAGAGTAAATGGGAGGCTGTCAATGAGGAAATGACTTACAATTCACAGGGTGATGGCTGCAGGCTGTCAGGTGGGATGGAGAGGATGGCAGCTGAAAGAAGAAAGGGGTGGAGGCAAGAGCGAGTGAGGATGGAAATGTCTCCTTGTCTGGTGAGTCAGGGAAAGCCTCCAGCAACAGCAACCCTAAATCAGTACTAAACAAAAATTTAGATCCTAACATCTAGGCTTTGGAACAACGCTAGTAAAGGAAGGGCTTAGGGCTTTAAAACCAAGGTGTGTGGCAGTGACAAAGAATCATTTGTAGTTATCCATCAAGGGCTGGAGTCAGATCACCTTTGGTATTCTAGCTTCTCCTGCATTCACACTTCATCTGTGTACCATCAGATAAGGTCCTAGAGAAGAGCTATTACCCACAGTTTAAAAATCTAATAATTGCCCTCAGAGAAAGTTTCTCCATCTTTCGGACAAAGTAGAATACCAGTCAAATCTGCAGCTAGAGGAAAAGATTCATTTGTAAGACTTTGGGGAAGTTGTATCCATATAAACAGGAAATCTAATTCACTCAGGTCCTTTTATTCACTTGGGTTCAGTCAAATGCAGCCATAAATAATGCAAGTGGCAGCAGTGAATCAACAACTTGCTTAGGAGGTAATAAATCAGTTGTAAGCCAGACAAAGCTGGTATCACCTTTACCTGCCTCCTAAGGTATGTATTTCCCAACATAGAAAGGATATCAGGAACCTGTCAAACATCTTGCATTGTGCTGTACTCTTTTTGATGGTTTCAGACTTGGTAAGCACCCCTAACAGTCTTGACAAAGTTATGCTTGCTTGAAAGGAGATTGAGCCATTTTCTCCTCCTATACTTTAAAAATAAGCTAACTCTTTTTCATAGCAGCTAAGGGTTTCTCACTGTATTAACATCCAACATAGAATTCAACATGTTTGTGCCCTGCTTTTGTCATCCAGGCAGAGCCTTTCCAAGCAGTGTGGAGATCCTTTAATGATAGACTTCAGAGTCTACCCAGTCCAGCTTGGCTCCTGAAGCGTGTTGTCATGAAATACATAATATAGTTAATGTATGTAGTTAAGAATTAAAAAAAATATTTTTTTCATTAAATCATAAAAAAGAAGAGGGCATGGGACTATCAGGTAAGAAGTTGCTTGAATCTTCCTTTGTCATACTACTGAGGCAGATGCTTAAGGTAAGGTTTAAGTGATCAGCTGAACTTAGGACTCCCACCCCCAATACAAAGATGTACACCTTATATTAAACCTGAAGCAGTTTTTTGTAAATCAAGATGAGAGGTTTGGTATCAGGTTCTGCAAATGCTTTCCACTGGTACAGATGTCTCAATTTCAGCGGGAGTTCTGCGCACAGATTTAAATGCATGTGCTGATATTGCCAGATTGGTGCTTACTTTTGAATTTGAGATGAATTCAAATTCTAAATCTTCTCATTGGTCTGAATCAAGAATGTGTTGTGGATGGGATTCTGCTGAGTATTTTTAAATTGTCAAATGCATATTATACACTGACTTGTCTGCAGCGAGTTAAATGCTACTTTTCGTTTACTTTGACCTTCCTCTCATTTAAAACCACAGGTTAGTTTTGGCAAGTGTTAATAGCTATTAAATGATTGGTGATCTGTTTTTAATATGATCCTAGTTCAAGTTCAATACAAATAAACACATGCCTTAAATGAAACCTGATGTCTTCCTGCTTCATGCAGGGAAGTGCTGCAAACCACAGGGTAGAGATTGAGAGATTTACACAACAGCAAGCATTAAAATACAAAAAGAATGGACATCAACTGTTTTCTCTTCATTTGTTGATGGTTCCCTTGGAGCTGAAGCAGGCAGCCAGCAGCTAGCTGAGCTGATCGTGCACGTAGTGGAAGTTAGTCTACAACAGAAATTGCATAGAGTTAGAACACGTCAGTATTTACTATCAGTGTTTCCAAGCATGGTGATTTTTCTGAAGTTTCATTTCCTCACATCATACGATGTCATGAAATTTCTATAAGATATTATTCATTTTTTCCCCATTTTCTATGCTGTTTAATTCTTATGCCTTGGAGAAACACTAGATAGTTTCAGAGAATAAGTTGATATTAGGCTTATCAGCCAAACTGCCAGTCATCAGAAAAGTAACCTAAATAATCTTGAAAAAAACACATTTCCATTCTATGCAAGCACTGCAATGTTGGAAGTTGGACTCCACCTTCTTAAGCAATTGTTATCAGCACTGGTGGTTCAACCCACTTTCTGAAATGGGTCAGGAACCTGGTTATCATTGGCCTGCATGGAAGTTTTGCATGCATTTGTTGTCTCAGGGATTACCAGTGGCTATTAGATACAAGAATTTCTTCTCTCCTAAAATGGCAGTAGTTTTGAAGCAAAACATTCACTTTTCACATAGTCGTCACATTTCCTTGAAAAAATACTTTTTTACAGAGATAATAATAGTGGATAGAAGATGAGATTTTTGGATCAGGTTTTTCACAAGCCCATGCAGGGGGGGAAAAAAAAAAAAAAAAAAAGAGGCTGGATTTGCAATTTGACTTCGTGATGTACTTCCACAACAGTGGAGGGGTCTGTGTTGGAGCCCAGTATAAATGCCAGCTTTGATGCCTGCAGATCCAACTGCCACAGATCAAGTCTGTGTTGCAGGAGAACATTGCACAGCAATTGCATTTAGTGTGCATTGATCTAATTTAATTTGCTCCCATTTAGAGGTTTTTTTTTTAAGCTTTTGTTTGAGATTGATTTCCTTAATGCCTTGCCACTGTGACCAGTACCTTATAAAAATAGTAAGCATAAATAAGTACAGCATTAGAGCAATCCAGATTAGGCATGTCCTGTGCTTGGCGTGTTGACTTGTAATTGTGTTTCTCTCACCTCCTGCAATTTGTGACCTGCTCTGAACTCTTGCCAAGTTATTCATAACCGCCTGCACTGCTGCAGCGAGGCCAGCACACAAACTGCCTCGCTTGCCCAATGCTGTAGCCTTTGCCAGTTTTGCAGCAGCACTGATTCATTGGCACTGCACTGGCTCCTCGCACCTCCCCTTGGGCAGCCCTTTCCATTGGCAAGCCCATACTCTACCTCAGAAGAGTATTTCTGCTTGAAGTCAGAGGTTGTGTCTTAAAATACAGGAGAGGAGGGGAGGAGAAAATCAATGTGTCATCTACGGATGAGGCAAAAAGGAGAAATGGGAAATCCTTTATCTGGGTAAGATCTTTTTTTTCCAGAGATTTCTTGTACATATGCTAACAAGTTCTGGCTGGTGAAGAGACTTCTAAAGCAAGCAGGAATGAAGCAAGAAGATTAAATAGTGCATTGCGTTGGGAAATTTGTTACAGACAGGAAATGGAGCTGGGACCATTACTGGGCTCTGCTCTAGCCCAGGGAGGATACGTAGCACCATCCTCTGACGTTTGTCAAACTGGGAAAAGGACAAAGCTGTGTGTGTGACTGCTGGGGCCTCTGACTTGGCCTTGTGTCATCTTCTGCAGAAATTACCTTCCACTGTCATTTTGTTGTATCACATGGTGATGTTGAGCAGAGGGTCAGGATGGGCGTTGGTGCAAATCCTGAAGTTCAGGATGTGTGCGTCATTTCTCGAATGCTCTGGAAAGCTGCAAGCATATCTACCAAGACCCAGTCCCAAAAGGAGATTGGTACAGTGGTCCATTTACTACCTGTTAGCTTCCCAGCTCAATTATTTTAAAAACTGACTTTTAAAATATTTCCTTCTAGAGAATGAATTTATCAGAAGTGAAAGTGTGACTCTATTTGCTCCATTTAACAACCCTGCAAACATCTTCTGAGAGGGACTAGGCTGCTGGTGGGACCACTGGAAAAGGGGTAACGGCTTTAAGTTGCACCAGAGGAGGCTGAAGTTGGGTATTAGGAAAAATTTATTCTCGGAGTGGTGAGGTGTTGGCGCAGGCTTCCCAGAGAGGTGGTGGAGTCAGTGTTCCTGGAGGTGTTTGAGGGATGTGGTCAGAGGGGTATGAGTGGGGATAGATTGGTGGTTGGACTAGATCTTAGATGTCTTTTCCAACCTTAATGATTCTATGATTCTAAAGAAAGGACAGAGGTAGACTCGGCTGTGCGACTGCCTTCAACACGGGCCTGGCTGAAGGAGCTCTGGATGATGCCATTGCATACAGAAATAGCAGCCAGAGGCACGTGTCTGATTTAACTCCTTGGGACAGTTTTTCTTCCATTAATGAGGGATTTGATGCTTGTACATAGCTTCAGACATAAATGGTCAGCTCGATCCAGCTTACGCTACTTGCCTGGAGCATGCTGGGCAAGCCCAATCCTCTCAGGCCGTGGGAACGGCGGGAGGATCGCGGCAGCCAAGGCGCTGCAGCATCGCTCACCCTCCCTCCATACCGCCGGGCTGCGCTCCGCCCAGAGTCGCCGGGGCGAGGTCTGCACCGCTCCGCCTCCGGCGCTCCGCCCTCCGCCGGCCCCGCAGCCGCTGGAGAGCGGCGTCTGCCAGAGGCAGCAGCGCGGTGCGGCCGGAGTGCCGGCGGACGCCTGCGGGTAGGTCTGGGGGCTGCGTGTACGTGTGCCGTTGTGGTACGGGTGGGACGCGGTGCTGCGACAGGTGGGGGCTGGAGGCGAGACCCAGATATTTGTGAAAACAAATAGAAAGTGTTGATGGATCAGGGGCTGTAGTCCCATCAGAGAGGAATGCTTGCTGAAAACCTGGAAGTTTCTTTTCACGAGCTTGTTTAACTGGTGGTGAAGGCAGGAAGGAATTGTGCATGGATTACGTTGCCAGTTTATGCTATGTGTCATCTTAGATTTTAGAGCTGACGGTACCAAGCAGGTGGGTTCTTCCAGTTGCGTTTTACTACCTGGGCTCTTCGGTTTTGATGTTCCCTTTGGAAAAGTTGCTACCAGGCTTCATGCTTAAAACTCAGTAGAACTGGTGTCCTCTGATCAGCTGCGAAAGAGTTCTGTGGCATTCAGAGCTGAAGATGCTTGTCTCTGCTGATGGCAGGGATGCTTTGTGGCTCTCAACTTTCCGGAGCACCAAGCGCTAGGTGTCGCAGAGAGGAGAAGCATAATAAGCACCACATGGTTCTCGTGCTGCAGAGCCTTTCTGTCTGAGTTGAAGGGCTTTAAAGTTTTTTTTTCCTTTTTTTTCTGATGGGGTGGGGTGGGGTCATAGAGTCCTTACAGTTGAAAAGGGCCTTAACAAGATCATTTAGTCCAACTGTCGAAACATCATGAGTTTGCAGTCAGTTTGTGCTGCAGTGCTGGAGCAGTGTTCATTTGAGCTGTTCTGATTTTAATAGAGTCATCACGGGTAGAAAATGTGGTAGGAGTTCTGTGCAATGACTTACAAACAGATGAGTTTGTGGTAGCACAGTCTTGGCGTGGGTGTGTTCTTCCCACTACATCCCTGTTCATTCTGTAGAGCTCCTTTCATTTGTTGTGATCGTTCTCCCCCATTTGCAGAGATTAGTGTCAGAGCTTCAGCTCTGAGCTGTCAGAGGAGATTTAGTTTAAAGTACAGTCTTGACAAGACAGCCATCGGCTTCTGGAGGTAAAGATGATGATCTAAGCTGTTTATTTGTATCTTCATGCAGTGTTCTTAAATGAAAAACTAATTCCGTCTAACTCAGCATGTTTCTATTTTCTTCACTCTACTGTTTTTTTGCTGTTCATATGGACAGTATAGAAAAAATGTTCTCTGCTGGAATGGAGCAGATGTGTTTCAGTGACAGAGACAGAACGTTCATCTGTTCCTGCTTTAGAATCCTTTCCAAAATGTTGGCGGGTATGCAGGTGTACTCTGCATGCACTGACGTGCATTCTTTGCTTGGTGTGGTTTTGTGGGACTGAGCCACAGCACCTAAAAAACACTTGGCTACAAAATGACCTTGCTAACAGAAGTTCCAGAGCGCATTTTGCAGCTGCAGTTGAGAAAATCTGTTGTTTGGTGGGCATGGTGATGATGGGTTGACAGTTGGACTAAATGATCTTGGAGGTCTTTTCCAACCTTAATGTTTCTGTGAATCTCTCAATTAGGAAATATTTCTTCTCCAAAGATATGGTAAAGTATTGGCACAGGCTGCCCGGGGAAGCCATATAGTCGCTGTCCGTGGAGGTGTTCAAAAGCCTGGAGATGTGGCAATGAGGGACATAACATGGTGGGGATAGGTTGGTGGTTGGACTAGATGATCTTAGAGGTCTTTTCCACTCTTAATGATTCTATGATTGACAACCAGGAGGCCAAGACTATTTCCAGCCAAAAGCTAATGTTAATTTCTCCTCTATTACAGCTGCTGTGAGAAAAAAAGCATTAAAGAATCCAAATCCCTACTTCTAGAAACATGTGTAGGTTGTGCTTAATGTGCTGATGGGACCATGGAAACAATAGAGCTCAGTTTCCCTAGGTGGCTCTGAAATAGCAGAATGTGACTCAGATCCACGTGCTTAGAATACTTTGGTTTTGATTCATTGAAACACATCTTCTCTCCACAGTAAAATGTTCCCTGTGTCACCTGCCCCTCCCATGGGGCTAGGTGTTCTGCTTATACCTTGTCGCATTTGACAATAGGGCCAGAAATACCAGGTCATACACCAATGGAGAGAGGAGCCTGGGATGTTGTGAGTTGGCATCATTCCGTGCATTGAGGTGTTGAGATTCATAACCAATAAGACAGAGGATAAATATGCTTGAATCAGAGTGGAATATTTTTGGAGATAATTGCTCTCGCCAGGTACCAAGCCAGGTGCTTTCTGCTTGAAAGCAGCAAGCTGACCTGACTGTATCTGCCCATCAGAGCTGTGAGTTGATCTTCCCTTATACATCCTTCAGAGATTGTAATGCTCTTTACTAGTGTTTATGAACATCCTTTCACAACACAAGCTGGTGTGTGTTTGCTAAATGCCATATCTATTGTGTGTTGATCTGAAAGGTGCAGACCTTTCCAAGGCAAAGTAGCAGGTTGGTTGCAGAGTCCTAGGATCCTCCTTCCACTGAGACCCATTGCTGCTCTAGAAATCTCTGATTGATATCCAGCTAAGATAAAAAGGTATCAGGCAAGTACCACTGGCTTGATGAAGAACTGTGTTTGCTCTTAACTGCCAGAATAGGACCACCCTTTTTATCTTAAGCCTACATTTATTTTGCTTGTTTGTCTTTGTAACCTGCAGAAACTGGATGCAAATTTCTTCAACCAACTGTAGGTCTGTTACTGCTGGTAAAAATTCTGTACCGTTCATGGAAACGCCTGTTTTCACTAAATGCAAGACCAGAGATTGCTTGAATCTCTTACCTCAAACCAGCATCCAAGTGGAAAAGTGATTTTTGATGATGAGGTTTTAGGTAGAACCAGTTAAATAAACTTAAATGCGCACTGTTATTTAACACGATTTGAGCTTGTTGTAAAATTACAACCTGTATGTCTGTTCTAATTATGAAAGGGGATGATGTTCTCTTCTTAGGCATGCTGTAGGTTTTGCCGTAAGACCAAGCATGGATGTCTGCAAACAGTTTTTGAATTCAAAATATGTCATGGTGATGGGTTGGACTTGATGATCTTAGTAGACTTTTTGAACCTTAATGATTCCATGGTTCTGTGATGTTTTGATGAGGTTGAGGGAGGAACCATGTCAAGAGAGCTTCATGCTCGTGGATAGGACCATGCTCCTTGGCATTAATGTGGTGTGATGCACTTTCTGTGCCCTTTTGAAAAATGATCTTGGAACTTAATGAAAGGAGGTAACCCCACACTAATCCCTCACTGTCAAGGAGAGGAATGTGGTAATGAAAAACTGAGGGACTCTAGTAAAGCCACGTGAGGGGTTTTTAGTAGAGTCGGGAGATCCAGGCTCTCAGCTGTCATGTCTGGGCACTGAGATGATGCTTTTTGTAGTTGACTGTGGACACATGTGTAAACAGTTAGGAAGCTCATTATCACTGTGAGCTGGTTCAGATCCACTCTTTACCACTGATCCTTGCAGATAAAAGTCTGGTTTTTTTTTGGCCTCAGCTTCTGAAGTGGGTTAGGTTTATGGAGGCTCATTGCATAAAATGGATTGTGTCTTTCAAGGCTGTTGAAAGCCACTCCCAACTCCATCAACAGCATCAATTTTTTGTTTTTTTCACTTACATGAGGAACAGAGCAGAGGCTGAGTTGGAAGCTTGTGGGAGGCACAAAGCATGGTATGGAAATGATGGAGAGTTGGAGCTCTGATTCACTGGTGGGGATGGCATAACATGGATGGCATCAGCTCCCAGCTGGCCACCCCACCCCACTCTCCATTCCTTGACAGCTGAGCCACTCTGAATCACCTGCTGAATCACTGTTTCCAGTGTGATGTTTTGAAGGAAATCATCACTGCTGTTGGATTGCCTTAAAACTCCTGACTGCAAGCTGCACGAGTTCATCAGCTGATGGGGAGAGCTCAGCTGATGGATAGCTGCTCCAACCCATAGAACTGTAGGGAACTGGTGGAAGGAGCTTGACGGAGCTGGTGTGAGGCTGCCTGCAAGCAGAGGTGGGATTCATGGGTGAGCTTCTTCTCCTTAGTGTTTAGATCTTGACAACTGTAATATTCAGTAATCCAAATAGAACATATGGCAATACTCTTCTATATGTCTCTGGGTGCAATTAATGTGCCTCTGAAAACCTCACTCAGCTTCAGTAAGTAAAAGGAAGCAGGAATAGCATGCTTGCATTTTCTTTGCATTAAGTATGCTTGTGCTCTTATTTCAAAGCTCTGAATTTTGCCATCAGCATTTTCAGCTGATTTCTTAATGCTCTCTGTTGGACAGCCAATAAACTGTCTGTTTTGCTTGATGATATGTGACTGAATTAAATATAACTGAGGCATACTCAGCTTGTGCGTTGGTTTGGTTTTAAAGAAAGTGCTTGAAGCAAAGTCCATTAATGATTTTTTTCTGAAAGAAATACATCCTAGGACATTTAAAAAAAAAAAAAAGTGTTTTTTTATAACATGATCCTAGCAATGGTTGTGTACTGAAACTTCTTTAAGTCCAGCTATCTGCTCATAAATTTGGGTAGGAAGGAGTAGCTTCATGTGTTGTCTGTTGCTAAAGATGGGTGGTATTTCATGGCATGCTTTGGCTGATCTGATGCCTTTGCATGTGCTTTTCCATTATTTCACTCTGTGAATCACCTGAGCTTTACAGAATCACCATGGAGTGTGCAGTGGACTGTTCTTGACTCTTTAGAGGCTTGTGACATATAGTTTCTGCTGTGCAAATCCATCGTACTGCTGATAACAGATGCTTGGGTGGCTCGTGTTTTAAATCTCTCCTCTGACTCAGGAAAAAAAGCAGAATGTGGGGTTATCAAAGGGATTTACAGATTGAAACAAGCACATTAATGGAAGGATTGGTTTTGTCATGAGCTAAAATTGAAGAAAAATGTTAAAAGGGCTCTCATTGCTTCTTCTGCCCTATGAAAGCAGAGTATGGGTAGAGAGTGGAAGGGGGGCTCGTCCTTGAGGTGTGGACCTTCAGCACGTCAGCATCAGGATGAGCTTCTTGGTTATCTTGTTATCTTCTATTTTCTGTCCTTGCAGACTGAGAAATTCAAAGAAGGTTTAATGCTCCTAGGATCCTGGAACTTCAGTTTCGAGTGACTCAGGCTCTGCCTGGTTACTGTGCCAAGGTTCTCATACATGAGCTATTGGTCAGCAGCAGTGCATCTGACCTTCCCACATATCAGCTGGCTCTATTTTTAAAAAGAATGAAGAAAGCATTCCTTTCCGCATTCAGGAGGAAAATGCCTTTTATTGCAATCCACTTCCTGGTCTGTTTTTTTTTGCTTGCTGATGTTTTTCATTTGTAGCCTATTGTTGCCTGGGCAGTTATTTTGAGAGCTTTACAAAATTGTTCGCCTTCTGCAGTTTCAGTGAAGATGAAGAAGGGGGTCAAAGCTCAATCTGGTTTCTTCTGCATCCTCTCTGCCTACAAGATACAGCTAATTAGAAATGTTTCTGAAATATTTCTTGAGAGAAAAACAATGTAGGATCTGTAAGTTGAAGTCAGAATTATACGACAAACCAAAGATACATCAGGGAAGAATTTCAGGAAACAAGGTTTGAGCAAGAACTGTTCCATGGTGGTTTCTGTGAGTAAGGTGTATGAAATGCTGATCAAGGAGTTGTCAGAGTTCTTATCTTTGTAACAGTTTGAGCTGTAGGATTTCACTTCACCTTTCAGATGCTTTGTAAACAGAGCAAACACGCCCAGGATCTATGGAATGCAAAGCGTAGTCTCTGTGTGTGGTATGCTTTGTTCTGGGGAGTCTGGAGTCAGTGCATAAAAAGCAGCACAATTTTCACCAACATTTTAGAACTACTTAGGACTGAATGTTGTTGCTGAACTCCTAAATCATACTTCATGCCTATACCTTGCAGCAAGCCTCATTCCTTCTTGCTTGTGCTTTCTCGTCTTAGTGTAGACTGTTAAGATTCATCATCCCTTGCCATAGCCCAAGTTTGTAACGGCCTCCTTTAAGAACACTTGGGGAAGTGTAATCCTTCTTATGTGTGGTTTGGGGTTTCTGACGTGTATGGCAAAGCAGCTCTTGGGGATGTGATTGCATGTTTGAGGTTTGCACTGTGTGTATAAGGAGGTGTGCTTCAATCACATAACAAATGCTGTTCGAAGTCAGAGTGATCTTTACTTACCTTAATGCTCAAGATCTCATGTTCTCTATAATGATATCAGCTGTGGAAACAAAAGTTTTATTTCTCTTTCCACAATCCATGGTTGCTGACTGCTCTCTGTCACAAAAGAGCATTGCTTAGCCAGGAAATTATTCCACTACTCTTTCCTTCAAGTCAGATCAAGTTGGAATTTAATAACAACTTTAAAAGACAACACTTGTTTCCTTTTTAAAAAAAGAGGTGAAAAATAAGTGTTTTGCATGTTAGAAATAGCCAAATGCTGTCTCTAGTAAAAAGTTCCCATTTTAACTCTCAGGATGTTTTTCATTCAAATAATCTTTTCTTGCTGATTGTCTAATTGCTGCTTGTCAAATAGTGCACTGTTGTGGTTTACTAATCTTTTCAGGTACTAAGATATGTCTGCTGCATACGCCAAGACTTTGTGGGCCAGATTCTGTGCTCTGACTGTTATTTCCACTCAAACTACTCTGAGGGCAGCGTTGGTGCTATGGATTTAGCTCCTGAGCTTCTTAGAATTAAGCAATGCTGCTTTGTATCTTCACCTCCCTTTGAGAGACAGCAAAAGGGTCTGGGTACTTGACGAACCCTGCTGGACAACCACATGTGTTGTATGAATCATCCTGTTGTCTGTGCTATATTTCTCTCTGTCACACTTTGATATCATCCCTTTTCATCACGTGGAGAACGTATCCTGGCTCTTGTTCACTTACAAGTGAAATGCTCAGAGCCCAAATCTGGGGCATACAGAACATCTCTTCCCTTGTGCAGCCTGGCATCTCACTGAAACAGAACTGAGCCGTCTCCATCAAGTAGCTTCCAGAAATAGACAGCAAACAAGTAAGCCAATATGTGCCTTGCAGGGCCATCTTTTTGGAATTTTATTTTAGTGTTATGAATCAGGATATTTGTAAACGATGTCAGGATATTTTTCTTTTCTCTTGATCCAGGCACTAGGAGGCTCTCTGTGCCTATATGTGCAGTGTAGTTTTTTCTGGAAAAAAGACCTGTATGGTTCTAGGAGTAATTGTACTAAGAGCTAGAGGACTGAAAGCTTCAAAAAGATCTCCTCCCTTCTGGAGGAGTTAGTTATTAGAATTAGGCATTGCCTACTGATTTTTATGCAGAAAATCTGGTATTTTAATGAGGAGTCATATATACTGGGCATGTGGATAAAAAGTTAGAGAAAACATTTCTGTGATTCTCGCTTGTTTGGGTTTTTACCATGGTGGAAATTAGTGATGTGGTGGAAATGGTGGCTTTTCCCCAACCTCTTTATCACTTCAGCCTTTGATGAAGTCAGATACTACCTAACGCTTTGCATGTTGGTGATTATATAAAATCATACAACCACAGCATCATTTGAATTGGAAGGGACCCTTAAAGGCCACCTAGCCCATCTCCTCTGTAATGGACACGGACTCCTACAGCTCCATCAGGTGCTCAGAGCTCATCCAGCCTGACCTTGAGTGTCTCTAGGGTTGGGGCTTTGACCACCTCTCTGGGCAGCCTGTTTCAGTGCCCCGCCACCATTTCTTCCTTATCCAATCTGAATCTCCCCTTTTTTAGTTTGAAACTACTTCCCCTTGTCTTATCACAACAGACCCTTCTGAAGAGTCCCTTTCCTAGTCAGTCCTGCACCTTGCACTCTTACACTGTAGCGTGTGTATTTCCTTTATATTTCCTTCCTATGATTTACTTCTCCCCAGTTCATCAGGCTGGAAGGAACTGAATTCCCTGGCTGAACAGCTGCACACAGTGACTAATGTGACTTTTCAGACACACTCTCCAATTTTGATGCAAATCTTTGTTGGCATCTTCAAAGTGGATTAGTACGGGTCATGCAGGGCAGGAGCTCTGCTCCCATCCCTCTCTCTGTCCTTGCAGCAGAGTTTGGCTTTCCCTTATTGTTTACTCACTGAATCCCTAAGTCTGCTGCTCTGAATGCCTCAGTTGTGCAGCCACGCTGCCAGCAGCAGGAAAGCTTTGGCTCTCAGGTCTCCAGGAATCCAGCTAATAACTTAATAGCTTCTCGTCCCTACTCAGCTCTCTCTGCAAAGTGCTTTGTTGTGAGCTGGGAGCGCACAGATGGCAGAGTGCTGCTTATCTCCAGGCTGTCACATTGGGGTTATTCTCAGAATTGGGTGCCTTTACAGAGTGAGTTTTGCTGAGGTCTGTGGCTTTAGAGAACCTTTTCCACAAATAGGATTTGGTACAATGGAGAGAAAAGCAACAGCATCTGCACTCGCAATGGCTTCGGGGCACTACAGCTTTTTTCAGATACACTCTGTAGGAATTCTCTCTACTGCTGTGCAATTGACCCAGGTTGTGATACTGTTTCTTGTTCTGTTGTTTTTTTGTTTTTGTCTTTGTTTTTTTTTTGTTTTGTTTTGTTTTGTTTTAGAATGATCCCATCTTTTGCGTGTAGAACACCATCACACCTTCTGATAATTCTCTCTTCTGTGTGTCTCTCTCCAGGAAAGGATGCCACAGACACCTCCCTTTGCAGCAATGTTTGACAGCAGCGGCTACAACAGGAATCTGTATCAGTCAAAAGAGGATGGCTGTGGAGGACTCTATTACCACGATAACAACCTCTTGTCAGGGTCTCTGGAAGCTCTGATTCAGCACTTAGTGCCCAGTGTAGATTATTATCCTGATGTAAGTATGAGATGTTGCACTGGAACCACGTTGTTCAGAATCAACAGAAACTGGACATGAGAGCAACTGTCATTTGAGAGTCTTTGGCCTGTCCAGAGGCATGTGTGCCTTGAGGTTTTTTAATATATCTTTTAGAAAAGAAGAATGATACCAAAAAGTCTTGGGGACAGGATGGTTAAGGGATGAACTATGTCACTTTCTGTTGAAAATCTCTGGCTGAAGACATAACTCTGCTTGATTTCATAGATGAATTTACAGTTCCAAGACAGGACCCTTACAGCTCCAACACAGAACTGTCCTTAAGCTCTTGGTTATCCACTAATGCTCAGTGTAAAATATAAAAATGAAGCTATTTATGTACCAATTAGTCAAACGTTATATGTTTCAAGCTCTGAGAACTGGAACGTTTTAAGTTTTGTGGCGGGTGTCATAAATACTGAACTACCAGCAGCATGGGAGTGGATTGAATAATTCAAATATACGTCTCACAGTGAGTTCAAATAATTATATGTGGAAAGCTGAGGCAAAATAAAGAACCTTTTCTTCTAGCCCCAGAATGATGAGTTACTATTTGTTCTGTAAAATTAAACTTTGCATGAATTGCTTTATCTAGAGAAGCACAGAAACAAACAATATCTGTGTAGATAGTCAATGTAGATTGGACCTGCAGCATTAATTTTATTCTCTTGTTGGACTAGAAAGAGTTATGCCATAGGGCACTGGCTCTTGCAGAGGTGTACTATAGAACAAGGGAGATGAGCTGAGGTTCTGGGTAATTTCAAGTACTAGTCTTGTAAGAACACTGTGTACAAAAGCATAGCTAAACCAGCCCAGCCCTGCCTTGTTTTGGTTTAATCTTACCTAATTTGGCTCAAGCGTGATGGTGCAGCACTGAGTCTGGAGCAATGACAAGTGTTCAATTAAGTGATTATTGCTGTAGTAATAGCACTCGGTACAGCCAAATGCAGTTTTGTTCTGCAGATACTAAAACGATTTGTCAGGAGCAGATTTTGAGAAAATGTAAAATGGTGGTGATTTACCCCTTAATCTGTCTTTCTCTTGTTTGCAGAGAACATACATCTTCACCTTCCTTCTCAGTTCACGCTTGTTCATGCATCCCTATGAGCTTATGGCCAAAGTTTGCCACCTGTGCATTGAGCAACAGAGACTAAGTGAGCCTGGCCAGGACAAGGTAATCACTCACTCTGAGAATCTGACCTTTAGTCACTAACATCTGTGGGAAATCTCCTCTCTGCTCAGACCATCCTGTGCACTGCTGCTGCTACACTTTTCATTTTACCAATGCAAGGGACAGAAATAAAAGTGATGGTTGTTAATGGCACATTCTGCAATGTTTGCTTTTGTGTTTCAGTATTCCAGATGTATTAATGTGTAGTATCAAAATGTTGGAAAGATGTAACGATGAATTAAGCACATGAATGGGGGTTTCACTGACGTGTGCATTCTTGTTTCAGTCTTTGTGGAGTGGCTTAGCTTGCTGGCCACTCACTCACATGGGAATGCATTTTTTTCTTTCTGTGCATTCATATAATGTATAGTGAAAAGGAAACAGAATGTGGATGTTGTAATATCGCCTTGTTGGCAGAAAATAACACAAATTAAGATACTTGAATCCTTGCCCCAGTTTTTCCCTGTGATGTACTGTACATACATACATAAGCGGTGAATGATGCTTACCGCTTTGATAGTTGATAATCATGAATTACGGAACCACTAATGTATGTCTTGCTCTGTGACATTCTAATAGTGAAGGGAAAGCTTATGGATATAGATATTCTAAGATTTTCCAGTAACCTGGGACCTAATTTCCAGCCCATTTAAGCTTTTCATTGGCCTTAATGGGTATTGACTCTGGCCTGTAATCCAATGAAGATTTAAATTAAGCTTAAAAAATTAACTGACCTTCATACCCTTATGCTCTGTTGTATTTTGCAGAAAGGAATTCTATTTCTTTTGGGTTAGCTGTGTTGTGTATTGCTTTTCCTCATAATGCTTCTCCTTTGTATTTTCAACTAGAACCGAATACGAAAAATTGCTCCCAAAATCCTGCAGCTCTTGACAGAATGGACAGAGACATTTCCTTATGATTTTCGGGATGAAAGAATGATGAGAAACTTAAAGGAGTTGGCACAAAGAATAACCAGTGGTGATGAGGTAAGTTACCTGTGAACAAAGTTATTGGATAAAATGCTTTGATGCTGTGCATTTGTTATTGTTAATAACATGGTATGGCTCTGGGAGATTAAGCTAACTTGTTATGATGGTTTTGAAGGCAAAAAGTGCTTTCCCATACCTAGTCTAAGAAGAAACTTTATAGCAAAAGCAGACCCTCTTCAAAGCAGAGGCAGGGTTCACCCCATCCCTAAAACCGTGAAACAATCACACAGTGTGCAGACAAGCACAACTTTGTGGAGGTTTATATTTTTCATTTTTAATTATTTTGCTTGGAAGAAGCCAGATAAAGTATTAGGAATCTTTGTAGGTAGGGAAATCCCTACCTCTGTGGTGTGAGTAACATTTGCTGGAATCAGGCCTCTGATCTTTATGTCAGTGGAGTAGTTATTGCAGTCTTGGGAAAAAATTTTAAAAGAAAAACTGGATCAAGAAGAGTCATCTTGTGTTTAAAGGATTGGATCTGGATTCAGTCTGTTGTATTCCTTCTTCTGAAAGAAGTGCATGAGAAAATCACTTCATCTTTTACTAAGTGCTGGTTCTCAGACCAAAGTAAATTTCGTGGAGGTCTTATGAAACACTCTGCTGTTTAATTGATGCTTGTCTTTTAAATACTGAAATAAACTCAAACAAAATTCAAGGTTTATTTTCACTTAGTGGAAAGGCAGTTAACAAGGTTTCAACAAGCATCTCTTGTAGCTGGCACAACTTCAAGATTGCAAAAGACATTGGAGTGGCGTTTGGAAGAGCTATAAACACAAAGAGCAATTGCTAAATGGCATCATGTTTCTAGCCTTCTTCAGCTTAACGTTGCATACATAAGCTGTTAAATAATGATATGAACAAGGCACCAAACAAGCTGTTAACAAGCTTCAATAGGTAAGCTCTACTGGGAGGAGTTGTGAGTGCTGCCAAAGCCTGAAAAGACCTTGAGAGACTATAAATAAGGGTGGAAAAGAACAAACATAAAGTTATTTGGAAACTGAGGTACATTTTTGTATCTGAAATTCTGTATGTGAAAGAGAGGAGGAACAAAAGAAGAGAGGCAAGGGGACTGAGATGCAGTATGAAGTATAAATGAAAAAGAGCAAACACAAGTTTAGAGTTGCTACAAGATATCTCTAAAGGGGACTTTGGATTGTGGACGGAACAGGTTTGCTTTTGCCATGGAGGCACCTTTCCCATAGTGTTGCTTTGTTTGCTGATATTCTTTTAATAGGAAGATAAGAAACTGCTGTTCAGATTGAGGGGAAGCAGTAAGATGGAAAATCATCTACTGAAAAGAAAGACAGAAGCTGGACAAGCTATTAGAAAATGATCCGTAGGCAGCAGTCTTACTCTGACAGGGAGCTGCAACTTTCCCTAGCTTCCAGGCTGCATGTCCATGTGACTTCAAGTTTTCCCTTAGAACAATAAAGGGAAAACAAGCATTGCAGTAAATTGACTTGCATTATTGTGAACTGCATGTAACAGCAAATGGCAACTTCCTTGGTCCTGCTTTTCTGCAGATAGCTTGGATTTGTTTTTGAGTCATTAACTTGAAACAACCTGTTCCAGTTCACCTGCCTTTTACTTGTAGCCTCCTATTCCACTTCCTGAATTATTGTGCTCCACTGCTAAGAGCTATCACTGAGAATCCAGCTAAAACCATTCACCGTATGAAGATATTGTTCCACCAAGAAAATCTATAGGATATTGAAACATTATTATTGATTTCTTAATATGTTTTTTTTAATCTCTATATTTCATGCCATTGCTGCCAGTTTTCTTCTCACTGTCCTGAGTGGTCATGCATGTGAAATATTTCCAGATATTGTTCTAGTTCCTTTTATTGCTTAACTGACCTTTGTTTCAAGTTAGGCCTTATGGAGCTTTTCACATCAGTTGCCTGATCCTTGTCTCCAGTTGCCTGATCAGTTCCATGAAAATGCTGCTCAGTGTCTTTTTCTGTAAAAAACACTCGATGGGTAGATGCAAAGCCACTCCTGTGCTGTTCAGCTCTCAGGAGTTTTAAAATATGACTAAATATCTAGTCATATTTTAACTAACTAAACTAGTATTGTTTCTTCTATCAACAGGTACAAGACTTGTTAGGAATGGTGCAAATGGAAAGCGGTGCATTTTAAAAAAAAGAACTTAAAATAAAATAGACTTGAGTTTAGGATTATCATAATTAAATCTCCCTAATTTCAAACTCTTGTTGCTGCAGCAATGTAGGATCTAAGAGACAAGTTAGTCAGAAGGTGTCCAAATAAACTGGAAGGTAAACTTGTTTAAGTATCATCTACCAGGAGAGATGAGTGTGTAATGTTTTGGGTTCAATTAAGAGTTTAAGGAACAGGATACTGCAGGCTAAGAGCTCAGGTTGCCTTGTTTTTGCGTGGTCATGCAACACAAGAATTCAGGTAGTTCAGCTTCACGAATTCACCAGTTTTCTCCCTAGTTTGGTTATCAGTTCTGGGTTGACGTAAACCACAAATTCACATGAGGTTTATTGGTTTTGTTTGAAGATTAGCCCACTGATTGTCAGGTGGTTTTCACAACAAGCCAATGTTCATCTGAAGAGTTTCAGATGCATTTTTGGTCTCAGTCACCAGCTGATCAAGAACACACTTCATAAAGTTCTCTTACATCATACTTCAGAAAAATGGGAAAGGAAAAAGGCCAGTGAAGCACACTTGTCTGTAGAAAATAAAAACACATAGAGACCAGAATGCAATTATTTACCACAGTACAATCCAAATTCAACCTTGGTTGAATACCACTGACCTCAAGAATGAATTTGACCCAAAATAGTGCTGTTTATTTGGTTAAATTTGGAAATACTTATAGCAGCTTTGGAGAGAAGGTTGAATTCATTAGAATATGGGAAAAGTTCATGTGTTTGATTGCACAGTATTTTGCTGCTAGTAGGTTTTGGACGCTCATTTTTTCAACTACTTATATTTTCCATCAATAGCTGTAGGCTGGTGTCTGGAATTTGGAAGAGGGGCCTTTGGGGGTCTGTTAAAGAGCTTTGCATCAGCATCAATCTGCTTTGATGTCATACAGACTTTAATACTGTCCTCTTCCATCTTGAGAATGTCTTTTGATTGTTTCATGTCACAGATGTATCGGAAGAACGTCCAGCAGCTCCTGCAGAACCTGCTTCGAAAGCTCGCAACTCTTAGCCAGTATGAAGAAGTACTTGCAAAAATCAATGCAACGTCCACAGATCGCCTCACAGTCTTAAAGACCAAGCCACAGTCCATCCAGAGGGACATAATCACTGTCTGTAATGATCCCTACACATTAGCTCAGCAGCTGACGCACATAGAGCTTGTGAGTTTTATTTTTTTCCAGTGTGGTTTTATCCTTCTCCTTTTGAAATGCAAGGTAACGGAGGATCTGACTTGATTGCTTGTGTGCTTTATTTAGGAGAGACTTAATTATATTGGACCAGAAGAGTTTGTCCAGGCGTTTGTGCAAAAGGATCCTTTGGATAATGACAAGGTAATTCGGAGATCTGAAGCAGCTCTGAAATGTGACATTTAACATCTTAAATTGAAATGTCTTGTGAACTGCAAGTGAGGACCAGCAGAAGCTGGCTTTAAAGTAAAAGTGCTTTAGTATTCATCTTAACAATTTTGTTTCATCAGTGCTTTTTCTTCCTGGAGCACATCTCCAGGTACTCCAGAACCTAGCAAACAAATTTTTTTTTTTTTTTTTTTATTTAGACGAAGGGAAAACTTAATCCTGTGAATGTTTTATTCTAGCGACCTTTGTGGTCTACTGCACGAAGTTGAGCTTAACTTTGGCTTTTGCATTACTCGCTTTGAACATCTGCTCTTTTACTAAACTGAAGGTAGAGCAGCCATTTAAAAAAAGCAGACGGAGAGCTCTAGGTCAGCATAACATGAAGGACAAAGATGAATGTTTTTAGGTAACCGCTAGTTTTATCTCTTTGGGTACTGTCATCAAGATTATTTATGCTCCTTAAATTGTACAAAAAGGAGTTGGCTAATGCTAGAATTACCATCCAGCCTAAAATTGACCAACAAAATAGGATGACTCATTGGAGCAGGTTGCCCAACAAGGCTGTGGATGCGCCCTCCCTGGAAGCATTCAAGGCCAGACTGGATGGGGCTTTGAGCAACCTGATCTGGAGGGAGGTGTCCATGCCTATAGTAGGGGGTTGGAACTAGATGTTAAATGGAACTAGATCTTAAAGGTCCCTTCCAACCCAAACGATTACACTATTCTATGACTCAAGTTTATATTTTGTTTTTCTGTGAGATGGTATCTCAAAATTACTTTAATTTATTTAATTTAATAGTAAGCAGATACTTACTTACCATTGTTTGCTTAAGTCTATACTGATTCTTCAAAGCATGCTGGTGGGACTAAAAGCATTCTAATGGCTTCTTGAGTGCCTCACTGGGTCAACAGCTCAAGAAGTGATACATACCCAGATACTGTCAATTCTGCCTTACCTCTACGTTTTTCAGTTGTTGTTGGCTAATTGAGTTAATCCTGATCACGTTACGGTGTCTTGAGATGGAAAGACAAAAAGCTGAATGGTTCCTCTGGGGTGAATATTGTAGTAAGAACCGATTTTTTTTTTTTTTTTTTTTTCCTCTGCAGAGCTGCTATGGAGATCGAAAGAAGAGCCGTAACCTGGAAGCATATGTGGAATGGTTTAACAGGCTCAGTTACCTGGTTGCAACAGAAATCTGTATGGTGAGCAAAGACTACTTCTGCTAAAATTTTTTTGTTTAATCATCAGAACTGTGCAATCTTTTTTGCTGTGGTGATGTTATAGTGCATTAGGTCTTCTTGGAATGGGAATGGGTGTAGTTTCTTTTGGGGCTGTGTTAGTACTGTTTCCTGCTAAGAATCACAAGCACATGCATTTCTTGCAGCCTGTGAAAAAGAAGCACAGAGCAAGAGTGATAGAGTATTTCATTGATGTGGCACGGGAATGTTTTAACATTGGGAACTTTAACTCCTTAATGGCTATTATTTGTAAGTATGCATCCTCAGACATGTTGTCCCTGTTTCAATTTGGGTAAATGAAGTGTGATACTTTTTACAGAAGTCTGCTGCTTAGCGTGCAGTTGGGAGGGGAAGTGGCAGTGAACTGCTAAGTGGTATTGTAGTATTACCTCTGTAAGGAACTATTTACTTTTTAGTGTACATCACAGATAAGTTTCCATTGTAACTCTTAGATTTCCACTTTTTGAACCAGACTTTGGTGCTAAGTTGAAATAGAAACTCCTGTAATATGGAATATTGATGTCTTCCATAGTTTCTACAACACCACAAATATCCAAGTGGCTTGAAAATTCCACACCCCTTTATATCTGATAGGAAACTATTGGTAGTATTTGTTGAAATGGGAAAGCTTCCCAGATACGTGGAATTTTCCATTAAATTTGTAAAAGATAGAATTGAGAGAATTTGGCTTTTTTACTGCATATTCATGTTTAACAAGACAAAGTGAAATAACGTCATAGTATTTTGTTAGAGCTTTTTTTCTGCAAAATATACTGATCTTTGTTTCCAATGTACTTTCATCACTGGACTTTTAACAAAACAGCAAGTCTGACTTCTGAAAATATGTATTATTGTTAATAGCTCCTTTGTATTAGAAATACTTAACAGTCTTAAATAATCTCCAAATTTCAAAATGCTCAATTTTTCTTATATCCAGCTGGCATGAACATGAGTCCTGTCTCTCGATTAAAGAAAACATGGGCAAAAGTGAAGACTGCCAAATTTGATATTCTTGAGGTAAGTTCAACCAATACTTGGATTCATGACAACTTGGACTGTTGTTAGCGTGCTACTTTCAACTGCTCTGAAGTGAAAATTTGGCTTTTTGACAAATCTAATTCAGTATATATTTGCTCTTAATAGTATAGGCAGCAGGAGGCAGGGAGATGACTGTCCTGCTGCACTCAGCTCTGGTGAGATCGCATCTTGAGGGCTGTCTACAGTTTTGGGCCCCTTAGTACAAGAAAGACATTGATACCCTGAAGTGTGTCCAGAGAAGGGCAGTGAAGATGCTGAGGGATCTGGAGCTCAAGTCTTATGAAGAGTGGCTGAGGGAACTGGAATTGTGTAGTCTGGAGAAGACTCAGGAGAGACCTTACCACCCTCTACCAACTACCTGAAGGGAGATTGTGATGAGGTTGGGGTCAGCATCTTCTGGGGTAACTAGTGATAGGACAAATGGCTTCAAGTTGTGTCAAGAGAGGCTCAGGTTGAATATTAGGAAGACATTACTCTCCAAAAGGGTGGTCAGGCACAAACAGGCTGCTCCAGTCACCTTCACTGAAGTTGTTTAAGAAACGTGTTGATGTCGTCTAAGGAACTTGGTTTAATGGGCAACATTGGTGACAGGATTAGATAATCTTTGAGGTCTTTTCCAACCTTAACAATTCTATGATTAATGGAAATTCCAGATAGTGTAATAAGAATCTTTCAGCTGTCCTGTGCTTTTTCAACATGAAAAGAGCAAATGGAAGTAATTGTCTATCTTCTTCCAAATCCCACCTTCTAAATGGCAGTTTCATAATTAAAATAGATAACCTCTTGAAAGGTAGATATATAAGAGAAGGTTGGCGTTGATTCACCTAATGCAGTTTCTCTGAAAATGAAGTTTAGCTATTGGCAGCTGCTTTGTCCATTCAGAGAAATTGATCTTGATTGCCAATTAATTTCAGGTAGTAGAGACCTTTGGCAAAGATTGTGTAGGGGCAGCAACGTACAAATTTGTGATATACTCAGGAAATTATTTACAGGTTAATTAGCTTGGTCTATATAGCAATTGTTTAACTCGCTCTATAAGCAATATAGAGGCAGTGTAATATTCATGACACAAGCATGAGGTGTTCATTAGTATCAAGAGATTTGACTTGTGCTCTGACAATGGATTAAAACTTCACAGGAAGCACCTTTACTTCCTGCACCCTTGGGTGGGAGATGGCCTTTTTTATGTCAAGGGTGACTGCAAAGCTCTTAATCAGCTCTTATTGTCACAGTCCTACTTCATTCGAACATATTATGCAGACTGGGCTCTGCTGGTTAAGAATATGTTTTGTGATCTGTACAGTCATCCTGACCACTACCACTTTTAGCTGCCTGATCTTCCTCTGCCATTGCAGCCGAGTCAGCTCTGAGAAATCTGCATACATAGGAAAAGCAGAATATTACTGTTAAGACCCACTGTTATATTAGTTCATGGCTTTGGTTTTTGAGTTAAAGATGAGCCAACTTCTTGGTGGAGAAGAAAATAAAAGGCCTATGATGCCTGCCTTTGTTTTCCTGCTGCTAACTTGTATTCAATCCCTTCTTGTCCTATGAGTGAATGTTGGTTTTTTTTGTTTTTTTTTAAATCGTGCTCCTCTTCTGATTGAAGGAAGAAATGAAAAGATGCCCCAGTTCTTTAAATGGCTCTACTTTAAAAGCTCTCGCTTTTTGAAACAGTTGCTCAAGTGAAAAGATGTTGTCTGGTGATGACACTGGCTCTCTGAAGCTCATTATTTACATTTCTTCATGCTTTGTAGCATCAGATGGACCCTTCTAGCAATTTTTATAATTACCGGACTGCTCTGCGTGGAGCCGCCCAAAGGTCTTTGACAGCTCATAGCAACAGAGAGAAGGTATGTTCACAAATGACTTGACAATGGGTAGAGATTAAATAAGCTCATTAAGTTGCATGGTAAGCTTTTCTCTGGGGATTCTGATGTTCAAAGGTGCTGATAATTGCAGAAGGAAGAATAAGGAGAAGTGCTGATGAAAATGCTAGAGGACAAACTAGACACAGGAAGAATAATCAGTGGTTTCAAATAGACACAACTGGGCATCTTTCAGTTTTAAATTGCTTTAACATCTACTAAGGAAAGAAAGACATTCTAAAACTGAAATATAGACAGATCTTGAGTCTAGATTCTTTGGAGTCTCTTTCCTGTACAGTGTTAGATGAGCATTAAATAAACTCTTAGACTTTCTTACTCAAGAAGGTGAGTTGAATCAGTTATTAGTGGGAAACAGAGAGTTAAAATCTCCCCTTACTTGTTTCTGGACTTGCTGCAAATTATGCATTAACAGGGGTGGCTTTGTTTCTTTGTTCTTCAAAATAAACTGGCTTTTGAGAAGTAAAGTGGATTTCATCACACATGAATTGCGGTTATAGCTCTTGTGAAAAGGAGCCACCCATTCTTAGCTGCCACCCATAGAAGCAGTTGTTCATCAGCTACTTTTTTTTGAGAGTGAAGTGAGTTGACTTCAGAGAAAGAGCTCGCACAAATCATGAAATGTTACAGCAAAGACTTGCTTGGAGGTAGATATGGTGACATTTGTTTTATTCCCAGTTGCTACAAGAATGTCCAGCTATGCAAATTTTTGTGTGCAAATTAAAATAGTCATTTGAAGGACATAAGAATGTTACAATGTTCTCCAAAGACAAATAGTTCTATTTGTTCAGTTGAGCTCTGTGCTTGAGCCAGTCAGTGCCAAGACTTGCTTGAACTCAGGGAAGTGTAGTTCGAAAGTCACTTACTGTTTTCCTAAGCACATCTCATCGCCGCAGTGAGCAAACAGTCAAGTGCCAACAAGTGCTTCAGTTCTGACCTTGAGAGAACCACATGCCAAGAAAACTTCAAGATAATGGAAGCAGTTTGGTACAAAGCCTGAAAGGACGCTACATGGACTAGCTTACCATCCAAGGGAGAACTTTCATAGACGAACTTTATGCATTATAAAATGTAGCGCATGCAGAATTTTTGTTCAGTGAAAGGAGAGAGAAGTAATGCAGATCTTATGTTATGATATTTTGCTTAGCTTTTTGTACCACCTGACTTCTTTTGAATGTTCTCTGTAGAGCAGTATATTTTCAGTCAGCACTGGACTAAGAGTAATTTTGTTCTTTCCTTAGATCGTGATACCGTTCTTCAGCCTCTTGATCAAAGACATTTACTTCCTCAATGAGGGTTGTGCCAATCGTCTTCCAAATGGTCATGTCAATTTTGAAGTAAGTAGACCACTGTGGCACCGAGTGGGGTTTTTGTATAGCATCAACCCACTTCAGGAGCAAACTCAATCACGATTACGCTTCCACTGGATTCTAGCGTACAATTGGAGTACATCTGTTTCTTCTCACAGGATTGAGGAGGTAGTCAGGAAAGTGCAGTTATGGTGGAGTTTGAATATTTATAGAAACAAATTCAATAGTCATAGGTTTTTAGTTAGAAAGCTCAGAACTTTGGCCCACTGCTCAAATTCATCTAAATATTTCAACTCATACATTCGTTTATCCTCAACCAATAATTTTAGAAATTAGTATTTTTGGTCTTTTTTAGAACTCCAAAATAAAAGGCAAGTTCATCCTTGTGTTATTTTTATGTGTGAGCCACAGAACTGTGTGATATAGGAGCAGTGAAGGAGTTTTGAGTCCATTTCGGTAATTCTTTTGTCTTTACTTTCGTATTTCTTATCTGTGGATCATCCCATGATTTGTTTTCCTAGTGCTTTCTGTTCTAAAGACACCTGAGTCACTCACACAAAATTACACTGATTTCACTTCTTGTAGTCAGCCTCAATTAGCCTGGTTCTAAAGTTAGATGGTTTGATGGTCTGGAATGTCTTTTTTTCCACAAAGAGTATAAATACCCTTGAGGCATGCTAAACATTAACTGAAAGAGCTTATCAATGAGTGACATCACCACACCACATGGAGAGTTTTTATTTTTGGCATTGATTTGCAGCAAGAAAATGGAGTGTTTCATGTTGATTAACTTGAAATGGAACATCTGGATTTCCAAATGTCAGTGTGAAGCATCTGTGGACTTCATGTGAAAATTACTAAATACTTCACTGTGAAACAGACGAACAATGAGTATCATCAAATGTGGAAGTTGGGTGTAGAAGTTATCAGCTATCTGAAAGGAAATGGAGTGCAGATCATAATGTGCTATTTATATTCATAAATAACAATTTCACCAGAGCTGAGAATTGGGAAGTCATTCCAGATTGAAGTAGAAACACAAGAGTAGTTTAGTTAAGTCATGTATAAAATTTAGCAAGCTCCCAAGCCTTGACTTGAAACTGGGATCTCTCCGCTCTTCAAAATATGTTCAGGTAAATAACACCCTCCTATACATAACATCTTCATTTCCTGTTCTACTCTGGCAGAAATTCTGGGAATTGGCAAAACAAGTCAGTGAATTTATGTCGTGGAAGCAAGTGGAGTGTCCATTTGAAAGGGATCGGAAGATTCTGCAGTATTTGCTCACTATCCCAGTCTTCAGTGATGATGGTAAGGAGCCCTGGAATTCCTGCAGATCCAGTGTCACAGGCTATTGTTTTGTCTCTGTCCTTGTTAGGCCATTGCTTCCACTCAGTAAGAAAGAATTTGACCTGAAACATCTGTCTGGAAATTTTAAAAAATGCTTCTCCCTTACAAATAAGAGAGAAAATAGGATTTTTCTTTTTAAGCACACATGGTCTGTGAAAATTGACTGTGACCTTTTCTTTGAAATGGAATGAAAATACTTGATTTGATATACAGACTCTGTAAATATAATTTGAAGTTTTTTTATATGGACTTTCAGGACACTTAAAAGGGTGCTGCTTGAGAAAGAAAACGGGGACTTGGATGGTTTCTTATGAAACACCATGGCCCTAGGCTCAATATTTCCTTTTGAGTGTTTTCTTCCTCTTATGCTTTTCAGTTCACACTGGCTTTTTGGGTTGTTTTGCTTTTCTCTTTCCTTCAGGGCAGTCTTTGTTCTCATGCACTTTTTGTTAGTATTGTCTTGATGTAATTATGAGCAATGTTGTATTTCACGATGGGATTCTGTAGCCCTAATCTGAGGGATGGGTAATGTAAGCCTGCTTCATTTAACTTCCAACTTCCATCCATTTTCAGGGCGAGCAGGTTTTTAAATGCCAGTAGACATAACGTATTGCATTTGCTTGTGATTGCAGCACTTTACTTGGCTTCCTATGAGAGTGAAAGTCCTGAGAATCACATTGAGAAGGACAGATGGAAGACTCTGAGGTTTGTGTCAAAGGTTACTCACATCAATAAATAAAGAGAATAGGATCTGGAGCTAGCATCTAACAGTTAAAACCAAATGGCACACTATGTGTTTGAACAGATGGGCCTCAGCATCAGCATAAATCACCCTTTTGCTCTGGAACTCTTGGAAAAATGAGCACAGTTTTCATCTGTAGTCTTCTCAAAGCTTCTCTCCCTTAAGAGAATGGGAATCAAAACAAGAAACTGAGTATCTTAATTTCTTACATTGCTCAATGTAGAAAAAGTACTTTCTGAGCTTCAAAGAAATGTGGTTTTCAGGCAGCCCTTTCTGGAGATACTGTATCCCTTTCTGCACCTAGTTTTTCAGAGATCACAAAGTTCATTCTGAGTCAAATGTATTCACAAAACCAGGTAATGATTTAGAGTCTAGTCTGGGAAAAAGAAGTTGAATCAACTACTGGCTTTGCTTCCACTGCTGGCTGAACATAGATGAGTCAACAATTTCATTTTACTAATTTCAGAACTGTTATGGCACTGTTTTAGCTTCTCTGTTGTCAATTGGCTTTTTTTTTTTTTTGAAGTGTACTCCTGGCAGAAGAGAAAACTGATCATGTGCATAGATAGACATAGAATTAAATAGTATGTGCATTACACACAGAGGCAAGGTGGACAGCGAAAGTCTGTGGGCTAGTAGCTCTGCAGTAATATCAACCTCAGTTTCACAGGATCCCTATCTGAGGCACTCTGAAACTATCTGAGGAGATTTACATCATTCTAATGGCTGTTTTGTTCATGTTACCTTCTTCATTTCAGATCGACGCTTCTGGGCAGAGTCTGATGCATGGGATGGCTGCTGCTTCTGCTGCTGCTCTCACCAAGGGGCATGGCATAGTTTGTTTTTGTGCACTGAGTGGTATTCAAAGTGATGAAAACTGTGTAGTCAGTTGAGATAACTTGTCAACAAAGATGAAACAAGTTAACTCAAGAACAAACAGGCAGCTTCTCGTACCAGACAGATGAGATTAAATCACAGCCCACTCTCAACTTCAGTATTGACTGAGGACAGCACTGACAGAAACCTTTGAAGAGCTCAGATGCTGCCCATGAATCATTCCACACCTGGATGGAATATTTTTTTTCTCTTCATCGTGCTGGAACTAGCTGCTACAAGGACTCTGCAGAGCTGATATGATGTTATAGAGGAGAAAAAAAAAATCACTGTACTTACAGTGGAAACCTGGGTCTGCATCGACTTCCTGATAAGCTGAAGATAGCCAGGAACTCTGGTCAGGACTGCTAACAAGGGAAAAGGACTGGACACAACAAATTGGCTGCTGGAGAAAGTTTCTCCCCACCACTGTAACGGTGGCTATTTTCTTTTTCCATTATGTTTTTGAGTTGGCTGCTGGCAGGCAAACTCATTGTAAGTTATTAAAAAATATGTTAAGTATTAAAAAATTAAGACTGGTAGAACAAACACCTGCTAAAAATATAGTAGCTATGTAGCGTGTGGACTATTTTACAACTTACAGAGAGGTTTTTTCTTTCTTTCAGTTGTTTACAGCTAACCACTACATGCTACAGACATTCGTGTTTTTACTACACGGATTTGTTACTCTAATTTTCCATATTTGACCTTCTTATATTAGGTTGAACAAGCTGACTTTTCTAGAATGGTCTCTGAGAAATGGATGTACAAACTATGTTGAAATATGAAAGTATGTTTTTAACTCATTTTTATAATTGCATTTTTTGAAGGATAACAATGGAGAACACAATCCAATTTGATGGAGTTAGCAAGATGCAAAAAAAAGAAAAGAAACAAAAAAAAAAAAAACAACAATGAGGCTTCTTCCCAAGTACGTCTGTGAACAAAGCAGTCTTCTTGTTTGCTTTATGGGTTATTGTTCTGTGAAGTAATTCACTGTGTTACACACCTAATAAGTTTGTAGTAGCTCTGAATACGTAGCCACTCTATTTATGCTAGGAAGAACCAAGGGGGGGAAAAGAAATTGTAGCTGTAGATCACCCTGGATGCAAAAATCACTAAGTATAAGCAGATTCCTGGCAGAACAGGTATTTGCAATTTATCCTACCACTGTTATTAAGAAAAAGAATAAAGCTATCTATTTGTTGCACTGCGTCTGTTGAGTTTTCAGGTAAGGCTGATGTTTAAGTCAGTATGCTGTCTATCCCTTTTCTGGCAGGTATTTAATTTCTGAATTCTCTGTAGCAGTCTTCATCAACAGGAATGTATACTGACCTTACCTACTGTCTGTCTTCTAGTACAAGGTGCTGGAAATTGGTAAACTGCATATTCCGTGAGCACCAGCTATGGAAGTGCCCTCCTATTTGGTGAGTTAGGGTGGAGGAGGAAGAAGAGACTGACTTTTTGAAAGAAGTCTGCTTCTTCAGTTCACACATTTATACCCCAGCTTTCATCAGGTGAGGGCTATCCGACCTTTATCTCTACAACCCTAAAGGAGAAATAGCATTAAGCAGCATCCACTAGAGCTTAGGCTCTGTGTTGTATTTTGGGATAGGGTCTGTGCAGCCTCTGTTCTGTCCTTCAGTTTTGAACATCCCAAGATTCTGTTGTGTTTTTGAACTGTTGTGGTTTGGAAACAGGCAATAGCATTCATCTGCAGCAAATGAGAGAGAAAATGACCCTTGTGTAGCTATCCAACTTCTAAAGGAAACAATGCTGCAAACTCTCAGAAATGAGAAGTTAAAATGACTCATTAACCCTATGAATTGAGTGTTCAGTCAGTACTTAAAATCCCTGTACAGTGCTGACAGATGCTCAGTGCTTAACAGGGACAGAAAAATCAAAGTCTGTCCTGTCAAATTACTCAGAAATGTCCTGGATTTCTTTCTTTCCATAGTGCAAGAGAGACAAAAACTGGGGTTCTTAAGGATCTGTTTAAACCATCTATTCAGAAGACCCAAGATATCTAGATGTGTCCCCAAGAGCAGTGCCTGTCCCTGTTACTCAAATATTTCCCATTTCTCCGACTTAGGTACAGCTCCATGGCAAAATCATAAAAAGGATTTTCAGTTGTATGCAATAACATACCAAAGCCTGCTGAAAGGCATCACCTCCAACACAGCAAGCAGGAAGTTCGATCTCCAAATGATTTCTGTGTGTGTGTGTGGGGGGGGGTGGGGGGGTGGGAGGGGGGGGGGGGGGGGGGGATGGGTGGGGGAAGGTTGTGTGCAGCCTTTCTAGACAGCATTTTCTGTCAAATAGCAGTAGGCAAGCTGTTGATCATTTTCCAAGACACTTTTTTTGTAGTGAGTAACGCTCCCTGGTGCTTAGAGTGGTAATTCTGTATTGGTGTGCAGTGGGACCTCTGGTGGGCATCTGGTAGTATTTCTGCTGAGAAGTCTTTTGAGAAAAAGCTTTTGGTCATCAGCCAGATCCAGATGGCTGACTTCTACCAAAAAGGCATATCCTACACTGTATTTTATGGTCTCTGGGTCTTGTGTCATCAGCTACTTTTCAGCTTGAAAACACAGCTGATAAGGATTTTCAAGGGAACCAGCCTATTTACAGTGCTACTGTTGTTAAAATTCTGCTTAACGCACTACAGACTACAAGCTGCCAGATGTGAAGTGTGAGTTTGCCAGAGAGTGCATTATTGGCACCAACAGACCACTTTGCCACAATTCTACCATGCAGTATTAAGTCCTTCTGGAATAAGTTTATCTTGTTTCAAATAGAAAATTTCAGCTATAATGTAACCTTTAAGGATGTTTCTTTATTAGGACAAACTCATGCCCTGCAAGATTTCTGCTTTGGTAGTACTGTTCTCCCCTGTTCTATCAAGTCCAGGAGGTTGGAAGGGGATGTTATTCTTAGGTGATAATGGTAGCATTTAGATGCTGAGTGCTTCACTGCTTTTCATGGTTGTTTTTTTTTTTTTTTTTTTTTTTTTTCCTGAGAGAAAATGCTTACACAGAAAGAGCTGTGGTTGAAAGTTGAAGGCAGATGGCTGAGAACAGTGAATGATGTGGAGCAAGGAAGTCCAGAGGAGCACATACTGTCAAACAAAGAGATTGGTTCCACTTACAGGAAATGATCAATTGCTAAAATTGTGGCTGCATCAGGGCCTTACTGTTTCTCAGGGAATATTGATGTTCTCTTGGCTGTGTTCTTTCAGAACTGGGCTATCTCCCACATTTTATTTCTGCCATCTTTCTCAAAATTGAATGAAAGTATGAAAACAAATAAAACAAAGCAAATGAAGACATGTATAGGAGAACTGCTTTTAGCAGAGTTTGGTAGAGAGGCAGAAATAATTATGGCTGGGAGCATGTCTGCCATTTCAGAGGGAGCGAGGCTCTCCTTACGCCTCCTCCCCAGCTGGCTTTGGTTTTCATTTTCTGTCAAACAAGTTAGAGAAATAAAAGAAAAAGAAGAACATAAGAACAAGTCATGGAATTAGAGAAAAGAGGATATGATAGGAGATTGGCTAGCATCCCTTTCCTGCGGTAATTAGTGTAAGTAGTATTGAAAAGAAATGCATGCAAGCAAAGTTACAGTGGTTTGACATGTATGTGCTGCTGACGCAGATCCTATGGTCATACACAGAAATAAGCAGTGATCTATTGATTGAAAGGACATAATCACAGCATGTGAAATTCTAGTAAAAGTGACCCAATAATACAGCAGTAAAATATATATATATATATATATAATAGTAATAATTCGGAATCTTCTATCAATTTTTATACAAGCATTTGGAATTGCTGAAAGTACTCCTGCCTAGCATGTCTCTAATCCAGATAATTCCATACTGAGAGCTAAATAGTTTCACTGAGCTGTCATCCACTGTCAAAAAGCAGTTTAGCAGTGTGAGATTTGAGGAACAATGTGACACTTGATGAAAATATGTGCATGATGAGGAGGATGCGTGCTTAGGTCCTTGGTTCCCATGGCAGGCACTGCAGCCTCAAAACAGGCAGAGCTAATTTGAGACAGTGTATGTTACACTAGGCTTCCTCAAAACAAATTATGTAGGAATTTATTATAGTTCTGATCATTTATTCCTGATTCTATTGTATTTACTTATCCCTGAGAATCTTGCTGCTTAGAGAACCTGGATAGGATAGATTACATTAGTGGGGAAAAAAGAATGAAATATAAAGAGAATGAAAAGTGTCAGAAACTTGGAGTCGAAACTTGGATTTTAAGAGCAGCACAGATATCTTCTGAGGCAAATGAGATCACCAAGTGGAAGCCCTTGTGTTTTCCAAAGTTGACGTAGCTTTCATTTTTCCATATTAGCCAGAGGCAGTCATATTGTTACCTTATACTGTCTGCTCTGTTCTTCCCAGCTGCAAACTAGGCTGCAGTGATGGAAAGAACTGAAGAAGCGGCTTTTCTGAAGCTGGGCAAAGGAAAACAGGACTGTCTCTGGCCCAGAGTAGCACATTGCTGTAATGAAGGGGAGAGAAGGGTGTTACTGCTGTGTGAAAGTCCACTGAGGTCTGACTGCAGCTCTGATAAAATTCTGTTTCCATAGAAATATTCTGTGTTGTGAATGTTTGGGGTGAGAAGAGGATAGGCACAGCAGTATATGAAGTGAAAGTTCTCTAACTTCGTTCTAAAATATGGCTCTATTTATCATCTTCATATCTCGCACGGATGACCAAAACTGTGCAGAAAGGTTTTCTCTCTTATCCCCATCTAGTAACTGATCTACTTAATGCCAATAGGGCCATTTCTCAGCACAGTTATTACTCAGCAGCAATTTGTCAATAAAGAAGCAGATAATTTAGGTACAACTAACTGAAATCAATCACTCAGAATGATCTGTTGTGACATTTATGTGGTAAGTTTACTGGAAATGATGAGTAACATCAAGAAAAAGCTTAAGAGCTGAAACCAGGAAAGATAATTCATCCCTTACATGGGGGAAAAAAATTCCAAGTAGATCCACATTGTTCTGTCTCTATTTAGCCTTTTTTTAAGGAGCAGGAGAGAGTTTTATTTTCTGGGACCACTCAGCCATCCTGTCCTATCAACTTTATGTGAAGCACAGTAAGTGAATATTGCTCAGCATTGAGAAGGTGAACTCCAGTTTGCCTCTCCAGAGGAGAATGTGTGAGAATTCCAAGAACTGTGTTTGATTACAAAGGTTGGAACTGATGCTAATAATTTCTGTAGCAGGGAACAGAGCTGTTTGCTGAAGTAGTTTCATATGAACTTCTGTAAGGTATTTTTAATAGTGCTCACCAGGGGTGCCTCAGACATCTTTAAGTAACATATTAACAGTGAAACTAATTGCAGCTGAGATGCATCCTGATTAATTACCATGGTGCTAAGAAAATTGTCTTCTTTAGAAGCAGCTGTCCTCTTTGCTCTGGTCTTCTCTGTCCACATACCACAGTAGCTGACTTGATATTTTGCTTCTTGTAACCACAGTGTTAATCGTTTCCTTTATCAAAGATCAAATTTACTTCCAGAAATCTTTTGAAAACAACAGTCATATGTAGTAAAACAAAACGTGGGAGATTGCTAAGGAAAACTGAGTGGAGCAGGAACTGAAAATCACAGAATCACAGAATGGCCAGGGTTGGAAGGGACCTCAAAGATCATGAGTTCTCCTGTGAGAATGGTCATTTTCTGGCAAATTCCTTAACTATTCCCACTTTCTAGGGAGTCTATTCTAAAAAATATTTTAAAGGTAACTTTTAGATCATTGAGAATACTATGCTGTGGCTATCCAGAATTTCTAGAAGCATGTTATAGAGACGTCCTGACTGAGGTAACTGTGAAGATTCTTTGAATTCCATAACTCTGTAATTCTTTTATGGAAAAACATGAGCGCATTGTCAGAATGCTCATGTGAGCTTTTGTTTGGGGTCTTAATAATACCTTTAATCATGCGCTTCATCTTTTGGTTAACCGTGAAATGGTCAGGCACTTGGATGCTGTGATTCTTGAGGTCCCTTCCTTCTCTCTCCCTCTCTCTCTCCTCTTCTAATTTTTCAGCTGCTGTCAGCATCCCAACCGCTAGATGTCTGCATTGCACAGAAAACTGAAATGTGCCTTGAGAAAAGCAGCTGGGAAAATGAAAGGAGAACCAATGGGGAGAAGGGGGAACGCGAAAGGACCTGGAAGAGCTCGTTGCCAGGCCCAGCCACCCTTCAGCCAGGGATGATATTCAGGCTTCTCTTGTCGAGTCTCGTTTCAGTGCCCAAGGCTATGTTTCCACCACCAGGAATGCAGAACTGATGATTTTATTTTCTTTGGAGAGTGGGAGGGAAAAGGACCATTACCTCCACCTCCTTCCTGGTGATAGGATGTGGCAGTGGCATGTTTTCCACCTATGTTAGGGTTGATTTAACCTGGTAAATGAAAGATGGTGATAGGATGAGATGTAATGCAAAATGTAGAGTTTTGCACTTGGGCCAGAGGAATCCCAGGCATCCTACAGACTGGAAGGAGCAGTCCTTGAGAGCAGCCCTGTGGAGAAGAACTGGGGGTCTTGATAGATGAAAAGCTTAACATGAGCCAGCAGTGTGCTCTTGTGGCTCGGAAGGCAAATGGTATCCTGGGCTCCATCAAAAGAGGGGTGGCCAGCAGGGACAGGGAGGTGATTGTCCCCCCCCCCTCTACTCTGCTCTTGTGAGGTCCCATCTGGAATACTGCGTCCAAGTTGAGCCCCCAGTACAAGAAAGGCAGGGAGCTGTTGGAGAGGGTCCAGAAGAGGGCCACGAAGATGATCAGGGGACTGGAGCACCTCCCCTATGAAGACAGGCTAAGGGAGCTGGACTTGTTCAGCCTGAAGAAAAGAAGGCTGCGGGGTGACCTCATTGCAGCCTTTCAATACCTAAAAGGAGCCTACAAACAGGAGGGGAATCAACTCTTTGAAAGGGTAGATAACTGCAGGACAAGGGGAAATGGTCTGAAGTTGAGGGAGAGGAGATTTAGGTTGGATGTCAGAGGGAAACTCTTTACAGAGAGAGTGGTGAGGTGCTGGAAAACAGGCTGCTCAGAGAGGCTGTGGAGCTGTTCAAGGCCAGATTGGATGGGGCCATGGGCAGCCTGGTCTAGTGTTGGGTGGAGGGTTTGGTGGCCCTTCATGTGGCAGTGGGATTGGAGATTCATGATCCTTGAGGTCCCTTCCAACCCTGGCCATTCTGTAATTCTGTGATAAGCTGTGCTAGGGGAAGTTCAGGTTGGATAATACAAAACATTTATTCTCAGAAAGATTGGTGAGGCATTGGAGCAGACTGCCCAGGGAGGTGGTAGAGTTGCTGTCTTGGAGGTGTTCAAGAACCACGGAGATGCTCACTACCACTTTGGTTAGTGGGCATGGTAGGGATGGGTTAATGGTTGGACTAGATGATCTTAGTGCTCTTTTTGCTCCTGAATGACGCTATGATCTCCTCTGGCTAGGATGGCACAGGGCAAGGATGTCCTGGAGACTCCCTGTTTCAGTGGTGGAGTGTGTGAGGAAGCAGATAATGATCCAGGATGACAGAACCTAGCTCTGTGACATGCATATACCCATAGAAAGCATAGCCAGCGCAAGATCAGGCACTGGGACAGCTGAGCACTGTGGTCCCCAGGTTTCTAGGTACAGTATTAAACTCCACCTCGGACCCCTGTATCTCTTTTTATCATGCACAAGTCTACCTCCAATTCTTGCTCCCCATTCTTTTATTTCTTCAGATCACCTTTCTTTGCTCTCTTACCAAGTTTGGGGTTTGTTTTTTTCTTTAAGTTACCATCCTGCAGTGCCCTGGTCATAACATGGCATACTATGCTGCTTTATTCACAGTGAAGACTTTTATTGGCATGATCCTCCAGCTGTCAGCTCTGGGGACTTCTATGGGATATTAATTAGTAATTAGTCTTATTTGTATCATGATACCTATGGTCACAGGATTCAGAGATGTAGCTGCCCACTGTCCCTATATCCAGCTCAGGGTGACTTTGGTGCTCTGTAATGTCAATCTAATTTTGCCTAGAGCAAAATCAAGATATGTTCTCTGCCAGAGTTAATCGTAGTGATGTCCTATGTAACAAAATAGCTAGCTGTTTGCCTTGTGTATGTTCTTGTAGCATTTTACATAATTTGATTACTACTGTTGAGGTCATACAATGCATTTAGACAAGCTTCTGTTGTATTGATATAAAGACAACAGGCTGCTACAGAAGAGACGGAACAAGGAGTTGTAACAAGTTCAATGTTAAATAACATTAGCTATAACAGTTTGGCTAAAATTGCTTTTTACATCTATAACTGAAAAACATCAGTGAGAAACAACACCCCAAGTGCAAGACCCAAGTTGACTTGAAGTCACTGAAACAAATTTTTTCCACAATATTTTCGAATGCACTTTCCATAATACTTATACTCTGTTTAGGTTATGATTTCATTTTTACTTCCAGTGCCAAATTCAGTGCAGTTCTGAAGTAACAGAAAATGCATACTAAAATCTTTTCAGAGCTGAAATTACAACTCTGAAATGCTGGCTAGGGATAAGCATAATAACCTCAAATGCCTTGGTTTTCTTATATTGAGATGACTCCTGCTGTGTTTCTTGAAGGACATTGGGAACACAGAAAATGCCATTTCTGTCAAGCAAGAGAATTTTGATGCTGGAAGGCTCTGGATGAACTTCAGAGGTTTTTTTGTTTGTTTGTTTGTTTTTTCAAGCCATCATTTATTTAGAAAAAAAAAAAAAATGTATATATTCTCTGAAGCATTAAAATTGGTGAATGATAATTGGTAGAAGTGTATCCTTTACTGATTCAGTAGATCAGCCACGCAAGTAAGAGTAAAATCTTTGGAATGCAAATGTGTGTCTAGAAGCTAGAAAGGAGGAATAGCATTACCAACCTGTAATCCCCAACTGATTGATTCTTGGCTGGGAGAAAAAGAAATGATATCTTTAAAACATGTGGTTTGTTCTGGTTCAAAAGTGAGCTCTGCAAAAGCAAGGCACAATCTGAAGCTCCATATTTTCAAGTTCATGCTCCTCATATCTTTATGGTTGCAAATCTGATCCAGTTCTTGATAACAGGCAGCACTGTGAATGGAAAGGATTATGCATAGGATGTTTCCATTACGCTACACTATTTTATCACCGCTCCAGAAGCTTGCAAATAGGAGAATGGGAATTATAGATTATAGCATACAGTTTTCTTTTAGTACATGCTGTCCAGGGAAGAATGAGAAGTGAAAACTAAGTTGCTTCAGAGCTATTCCAGCTCCAACTCCCTTTTATTGTGATAAAGCCAGGCTAACTTCTCTTTTCCCACATGCAACAACCAATAGCTGGTCTGATTTCTGGTTTCCTAGGTTGATAAGTTATCAGAGTTCCTTTGTTTTGTGCTTGATGTGGTCCTCAGGATGACTTACTTTCTCAGATACCCAGCTGCACTTCTCAAGAAGGATCTCTGGATTCCCAGGACAGCAGTTCCCATGTTCTGAGTTAGTTGCCAGTTAGTGATTTAGTGGACATCTGAAAGAAGAGAAAATAAATCAGTATTTTTTCTCTATTCTCACCAAAAATCTTTGAGACATGAAAGCAGTTAGAGTTTGAGTGCCCGCCTTTGGATAGGCTGATTTCCACTTACCTCATCTGTGAAAGGCTCTGTTCCAGTTCTGAAGCTTCACAAGGGCACAGAACCTCATTGTGACTGCTGAACCCAACAGCCTGCAGTGCTAATCTCCAGCTCCTGCATTTCCATCAATTTCCATCTGTTTTTGGAATATAATGAGGTTGTTTAGTGGGTGTATGGATGGAGAGTTGATGGTTGGACTTCGTGATCGTGGGGGAGTTTTCCAATCTGTATGTTTGTGTCTATGATTCTTGATGGCTGTAAGCATGTCATGCCACTGTATAACATCCAATTCCCTGAAGTTCACTAATGCTAACGTACTCAAAAGGAAAAAGAAAAAAAAATAAAAATAGAATAAAGCTAAAAAAACTACAGAAATAATGAAGAAAAAAGGGAATTTTTGTAGGTTTTGGACTGCTACCAAATCAAGTTCATTTCGAACCTATACTGAACCAAGTGTTCCTACTTGTAACCCACTCATACTGCCACCCTGAAACACTAAAAAAAACATTCTCTAACACATACTAGAGACTTTAGAAAGAGGCAGCGTGGGATTTCAGTGAATAATATTGCATTAGTGTGCTCTGGAGTATTTCCTTGCCAGTTCAGTTTCCTAAAGCATCTATTTCCACGTCTTTTAAGTTAAAGTTACTGAGTTAGGAATCTGTGGTGCTGTCTCCATAAGGTTTGTTTAAAATATGGCCCTCTGCTAACAATGTAACCTATGTGAACAGGACCAAAAGAAATTTGTAACAAGTTCTATGCAATTTTTACCCCTGAACTGGTCTGGGTCTGTTCAAGCTGCAACAGTAGCTTTATTGTAACCTGTGTTACCTCGGAGTTAATAGGCAGGACAGCAACTAGCTGTTGCCTTGCACTTTCTGGTTATTTGAAGCTCACCAAAACTATAGTAAAGAAATCATCAGCCTACACTTCAGAGGCCAGAGTAACAGCCCCCAGTTGCACTAGGCGAGGTTCAAGTTGGAATTAGGAAACATTTATTAGCAGAAAAAGTGGTGATGCAATGGCACAGGCTCCCCAGGGAGACGAGGGAGTCAACATCACCAGGGGTGTTTAAAAACCCTGGAGATGTGTCACCGAGGGACAGGATTAGTGACCATGATAGGAGTGGGTTGGGGCTGGGCTTAGAGGTCTTTTCCATTGACTCTGTGATTCAGAGACAGCATAAAGACTTGGGTATTTTTCTTCCAAGCACTTCAAGCAGCAAGTTTGTGTTTGTAATCGGGATGACACACGATCCACAGTCTGAGGGTGAACAGACAGACACTCCCAAAGGAGAGGAGAAAGGTTGGAGGAGAAAATCAGAGCTCCAGGCACGCGTGCAGTACCACCCTCCCTGCACCAGCAGAGCCGCCAGCCCGTGCCGTGCGGGAGCTGCTCGGATCCACCGCACCGAACGTGGTTCCGCAGAGCCCCCGCGGCGCTGGCTCAGCGAGGCCGCAAGATGGCGCCGCGGGCGGCAGGAGGAGAGGGGGGACAGCCCCGGCCACGGCGCCCGTGGGTCCGTCCGCTCCTCACCGCCCTCGCCGCTCGCTGCCCGCCCCCCTCCGCACCGCAAGGACGGGGGCACCCGAGCGGGGCTGCGCGCTACGCTGCAGTCAACGGATGGAGCGCGCTCTGCTTTGACTTATCGTCCACAGACAGGTAAGGCAGACCTGTTGTTTGCATTCCATCTCTACACCGTGCTCTCCTGTGCCTGGCTGCACTCCCCTCATCCCTTTCTCGGAGGTTTTAGACGCCTGCCAGAGCCTTCTTTGGAATGCGGTGACTGCCACTGCAGCATTTCCTATGGCAGACTGCTGGGTGTGAGGACAGTCCTCCCATAATCTTCATTTCTGCTCTATGTGTCGTAACAGTTTTGTCTCCCTTTGATCTGCCTGCATGCTGAGCTTGGATCTTCGGTTGTGCCATAGGTTGCTCTTCAGAGATAACTGATGTATTACCTAGATACATGCGTTGTTTGAATTCTGCTCTGTAGCACGGATCCATCAGTGGTGAACTTCATGATGAGCTGAAGTGCCGGCTGCCAGGAGACACCAGGAAATCACAGCAGAAGGTGAGTGGTACACCATGTCACAGTGAGCACCCGGAGCCGAGAGGAGCAGAGACTGCTTGGAGGAGAACTACATGTGAAACGTAAGTAATATTGTCTAATACTTCTGTCGTGACCTGTCAAAAGCAGCAAAGCAGGGCAGAACTGTATTGGAAACCTTAACAGGCTTCACTGGGAGTCCGAGCTGGTGTTCGGGAACAGCAGCTCCGTGCAGTGCTAAGGCAATGCAGCCCTAAGCTGAATTCTTCTTTCCAAGTGGAGATCTTTTTAAGCTTGAACTGCATCAAAGCTGTAAACTGGCACTGTCATAGACCACAGATGGGATTTGTAGGCAGACATTGCTCTAAGATTCCTCTGACATAGGGTTAATTGAATGCTGGACACCCAAATGCAATCTGCTAGGTTTTTTTTCCTTCTTCTTCTTCTTCTTTGTTTTCTTCTCCAAGTTATGAACATTAAATATAGTTTGCTCATCTTAAAGCAAATGATATGCCAAAGGGAAGAAGATATATCGCTTTGGAAACCTGTGGAGAGCAACCGGGTGCAGCAAATGTATGGAGAGAAGTGTCCCCACAGTAATCTAAACTCAGTAGATCTGACATTTGGAACAGCACATGAACCAAGTGGCCTATGTGATTTTTCTATAAGGATCTCCTTTTGAACACAGCTAGAGACAGTCAGATCCTTGCTCTAATCAGCATGGCAGTTTATATTTATGTTATGTATGGACATGCTTACAAAAAAATGTATCCTTTATGTTGGGTAGATGTGCACCCAGTGGTTGAGTTTGTGTGATCAATGACCTCAGTGGAGAAAAGAAGCTGTAGTGTTTTCATGTACTAAATTTCTTTTTTCAGCAACAGAGCATGAACTTCTCTTCCCATTTTTTTATTCCTGTTTTGTCTGTATTGGGTTGAGAGGAGCTTGCACATTTTTTCAGCTAACAAGAATTTGCTGCCTTTTGCTTTCTATCCACCAACTCACCACCCTTTCTTTTCCCTGTATCCCTCACTTTCAGGACTGAAAAAGGTGAAATCAATCAACTAGTATAGTCAATTAAAATTTTGCTCCTAGCTAAATAGTTAGCGTTCGTTTCCTACCATTCAACAGAGATATTTTCCTTCTGTACAGGCAACCAAGTAACACTGCAAATGTATTTTTGCACTTAGGTCATTGGACAAAATGGGGAATGCATCAATGAAACCAAAACATTTGAGGCAGCCAGACAGACACATAGCAAATCTAGCTCTCGGTTGTGCTAGCAACTATAAGTTTCTAACAGACCCTGGTTTGGGCATCCACGTCACTGGACAAGTTGATGTGCTTTGCAGCAGAGTGCTTGAACTGGAAAAGGAGCTCAGAAGAAAAGATGAAGAGTTGCAAGAGGGTCAAAGTCTTGTTGCTGAGCTTCAGGAGCAGCTGTCCGTGCAGACAAAAGTCATAGCAGAACTCACCAAGGAACTTCAGAACAAGTGCATACAGCTGAACAAGCTGCAGGATGTTATTAACACTCAAGGAGAACACTCTCTTCAGCCTTCTCCATTTAGAGTGACTCCAAAGAATCAAGTCTTTGCTGACAGGAGGAAAGGAGCTAAGGAGGGTGTATCTGCAGAGCCAACAACACAGCTCTATGATTCTGGCAAACAAGCTAGATTTTCCTTTGAAAAATCAAGAGTCAGAAAGGATTCCAGGTGAGCTCACTGTAGAATGGCTGTATGTTTGTGTTGCAAGGATGTAATTTCTGTCCCGACTATATTGTCTCTTCATGAGAGATCACAATCAAATTAAATCAGCCATCTTTTTTCCTGTATAGGCTTTGTCGCTGTGGTAGTTAGGTGCTAGCTAGATCTGTTTAACTTTTAACAAAGAATCATCTGTGTCTCAGACTTTAGATTGAGTTGTAGGTGACCTCTGTATTTTAGCTTTTAGCCTCTTCATTACTATCAACCAAGCAGAAACTAAGTCTCAGGCCCAGGTTTGCCCACAGCTTACATTTTAAGCTCTGCTTTGGAGCACTGATGGGCAGAAGACTGGATGCCATCACATAGGTTCAGAACCTTGTTCTTGTGTTATGGATGTCCTGAGAAAGAGCAGATGGCCTCAGCTAGAGTGCAGTGTGGGCATGATTCCTAGCTGTATACTAGTTTTGTCATCCATCTGGGCAGTCTGTTCTAGTGGTTGACAACCCTGAACATGGCAGAAGGGTTGAAACTGGATGATCATTGTGGTCCTTTTCAACCCAGGCCATTCTGTGACTCTATGATTCTATGATCACAGTACCACTCCCTGTTGCAAAATATGACAAGATATTTTGTACAGCATGATTATCCTATTAGTACTTCCTCCTGCCTTCCAACTTCTGACAGTCATGGTTTAGGAACATATTCGTACTTTTACCTCTCTGAATCCAATTACATTTCAAACCCCTGCAAAAGCCAAGAGAACCAGCAGTTGCAGCTCAACCTGGAGACAGTTCTCAGGCCAGTATCCTTAAACACACTTTACAGTTTTACCCTTCAGTTTAGGCAAATCCCAAGTATGCGACTGAACATGGTGATAGCCAGAATCTGTGAACTTCAGCTAGCAGCTCAAGTGTCTCAGTTTTGTGCATCTTCATGATTTTGGGGCATTCATGGTACATGCACTGCTGTAGACATAAAAGCCATCTGGCTCAGTCAAGTTGTCATCCACTGTGTCCATCACTACATTCCATTTTCCCTCCAAATTAATATTTCATAATCTGATTCAAAAATAATCACTCTTACTGGTAAGGCTCCCAAAGATTTGTAACAATTTAAAATATACTATTTCTGCATTTATTCTGAGTTTTATTGTCCTGGAAATAACTGTTTTAATATTCACTGCTTCAGCATTAAGAACAGCCCACCATTCTCTTTCCTCTCCACTGTTTCCAGCTCTCCTGCTGTTCTGTTCACTTCCCTTCTATTCCCTTCTGTTCAGCACCTCCCAGTTTCCTTCATTTGCACTTCAGTTTTTATTGGAACTCTTATCCTCCACGACGGCCACTAAGCTTTCATTTGCCTGCTAACTATTGCCCTGAGTATAATTTTAGAGTGAAGCCGAATTCATTGTTTCATTATCAAGTGTTAGTAAGTGTTTCAATTTTGTTGCTGTAATTAGCATTAGAGAGTTTGTCATTAGAGAGCTGGTCATGTGTTCTTTACAGAAGTTGCTTTGTAGTTTGTAGTACTAAGTTAAAAAAAAAAACAAAAAACAAAAAACCACAAAGTTAAGAAGTTAAAAAAAAAAAAAAAAACCTCAAAAAAAACCACAATAATTTTGGATGTGGAGCATAAAGATCACCTTTTAAAGCTAGCTATTACTTGGCCATTGACGTAAGTCAGAGAAGACAGAATTAAAACAAAAAATATTACTTCTTGGGTGTCCTCTGTATTCAATAGATCATGCCAGAGATTAAATTACTTCTTCTTACATTATTAAGCTTAAATTCAACTTCTTATTCTAGCAATTGTTCTTAAATTACCAAGAAATCTTCCATAATTATTCATTTTCCTGCTCTAACTCCGGGTAGGACAAAAAGCAATATACCTGGGTTTTACTTGAAAGTGCAGGAGCATGCTCCAGCAGTCATAAGACAATTAAATAGCTGAATATGAACTTGTATTAATGGTGCTGTAGCAATAGTGTTGGATTTTGTTTTTTGTTTTTTGTTTTTTGTTTTTTTTTTTACGTTGTACTAATGCTGTAAAAACTCATTGCATAGTTCTCTGCTATTTATTGAACAGGGTTTTAAAGAGAATTCACCACTGGGAGTATTTCAATATAGATGCTTTAATGAAAGCTCTAGAAGCTTCAGATGATTCCTCATCTATAGTCTATGAATGCATACTCTTGTATATATGCCGTCTTCTGAGCTAGTTGGATAAATCCATCCCAGCTTCCAAAAATGAGTGTGTTCTTTAGGGGAGATGGAGTATTGAAAAGTTTTAGCAAAGGTCTGTAGAATATACCCCTTGAGAGTGGTATTTGAAAGTTGATTACAGTCCAGATATTTTTCAGTCTGAAAGTAATTCAACTTCTTACAATTTGCACAGCATTGCTGATTTAAATGTCTGATGACCTGTGGTGCTTTTTCTCCACTTCTGTGTGTCCCTTCACAGTATGCTTCCATAATCAGTAGCATTTAAGCTGCTGATGTAAACTTTTTCCTCATTACAGTCTCAGGATTGTGACCTAACTGCTACTAGTCATTATTGGGTGGAGAATAAAATTATTATTATTACTTGTCACTTAAAAAATACTTTTAGTTTCAGCCATTTCCAACATATGTCCAAAATCTCTCATTGCTAATAGAAAGACTGGTGGAGAGAAAGCATTTTGCCCTGAGGCATATGCTCTTAGCAAATCACAAAACTGGGGTGGGTGTGGGAAAGCTGAAAAAAAACCAGTCAACAATGATGTATTGTGCTGGATGTATATGAAATGAGCAAACAACTGAGTCAAGACTGTGATACTTTTAGGTCCTCACTGTACTTCCTGAAAGCAGCACCATCCTCTGTTTTGTATTTCTGGGAGCTTTAGTGCTTGTTCCTAAGTATCATTTCATGAGCCATTACTGCATTTTATTGTGGTGTAATGTGCATGATGCAGGGCAGGGTAAATGAAATAAGCAAAGCCATTTTTAGTTGGAAACAAAGTTAGAGGCTCTATTCCAATAGCCGTATTGTCTTCAGAAAAAGCCATGTTATGATCTCTGTTTCTAAGCAATCTTTACCATAACTGCTTGATTTTATTTTCTTTCTTCTTGTCATTACCATTACAGATTCACAGACATTATGTGGCGAGTAATGTGGTGAATGTACTTTCTTTTCATTCCCCATTTCCATGACAGTTCATTGCTGATTTCCCTCAGGAGACTTTGTACTTTCCCTGGTTTTGATGACTGATTTGCATTGTTTATACAAAGACAAACAAGAGGGGTTTGCATGTAGAAAGCCATGAGGGTGCTGGTTTTGTTGGGCAGCTTGTCTACACATGCTGAACAGGAACAAGGGGACTTGAAGACATAATGTCACTTAAACTGGCAGTAAAAGAGAACTGCTCGTTTGGTCCATAAAGGCTTTCAGTGCCGCATTTGCTTAATTGCTTTTGTTTCTGGCGTGGATTCAAGACACTATGCGGTATTTAGAGGCAGCCCATGACCCAGAGCAATCAGAATGCATGGATTGCCTGGTGTGTACACAGAGCCAGCTCTGTCCCAGCTGGTTAGTCACTAGTGGTCAATTCAGGTAACGTTGATTTTCTGACATTCTCTCCTTAAAATCTAACCATTCCATTCTTCCACCAGCAGAGCAAACACACTGTTCTTGTCCTTGAAATCATTTCTAAATCAACATTTCCTACTGCAGGAAGTGATGCAGAGACACTGTGTCAGGAAATATGAGCCAAGAATCAACCAGGACACAGTCCCACAAGGTCCAAATGGGTGAAACAGCAGGATGGTGATAACAACCATCAGCAACTCCAGTCAAGGGGTTCAGTCAGGTCCAAGTTCCAGCCAGGATACATGACCATGGTACTTACAGTGTGGTGCTCAAATCCCTACAAAATCAAGAACAATGATGGCACTTCTTATGGGATTCCTTTAAGTTACAAGGATTATTATGTGCATCTGTGATACTGATCACGTTGTCAGTGTTAGAAATTAGAGGAAACATTTTGAGGAGAATGAATGCCTGATGAGTAATGTAACCCAGCTGGGCTTGATCTATCAAACTTTGCTTTTCATCAAAAACAGTGAGAAGAAGCTCATCACAGACGCCCTGAATAAAAATCAGTTCTTGAAGAGACTGGAGCCTCAGCAGATCCGAGAGATGGTGGAATGTATGTATGAGAGGACTTTCCAGCAGGGGAGCTATGTCATCAGACAAGGAGAGCCAGGAAATCACATTTTTGTCCTCAAAGGTGAGTTCTGCTTGCTCGTGCAATGTGTAACTACCAGAACCAGGGAAGCAATTCAGAAATCTTTGCAGGAGACAGAAACATTGTTATTTGTACTCATACTGGCCCCACTGACGTCAATGCATGTTTCATCTGTGACTTTTGTTTCTTTTTTAATAGAATTAGAATTACAAGAATTATTAAGAATTAGAGTTCATGCTGCAGAGTACAGGCACATACTTGAAGAACTTAAAGAGTTCAGGTTTGTGAAGACCTCCAGAGGAGGGCAACTACTAATTCTAATTAGAAATGGAAGGTTTAGTATGAAAAATTGATGGTAGCTGCACTTGAAAAGAAAATCAGGGTGTAGAGAAGGAAAGAGGCAGGATTTGTGCAACCAGAATTTCTCCTGACACAGTAGAGCTTTCCTTAGGGACCAATAGGTATGTTGAAAAGAAGAGGTCCAAGATTTCAGGATGGGGTTTTTTGGGCCATAATCTGTGAAGAAATTCACATTACGTTTTACTTCTGATAGATTGATGGTAAGGGTCAAGACCACTTTATCTAAGGATAAAGTTACTTGCCTCTCATCTTTCTGCCCTCTCCCTTACAGTTTGTGCATACACACGAATGTGTTTGCAAGAACAAACAAGCCTCATGAGGAATTCTTCTTTCATCACTGTTTTAATTTGTGTTTGTCTAAAACACATGAGGCTATCTCAACCACGGCAGACTGTTTTGTTGTAACAGAAGTTTATTTCATTGGGGTTTAGAATGACTCTTCTCCATAGCCTATTCATGGCGCTGAAAAGTTTCTCAACTCTCTTTCCCTTCCACATCCAAATCGTATATTAGCAAAACATCCGAAAGAGAAAGAAACCACTCTGATGGTTTGTACCTGTGTTTCAAGGCAGTGTCCCTATCCTTGTTTGACTTGAGAATGATGAAGCCAGAAATGCATTAATTTTTCTTCATTTCACTATGTGCAATAGAGCTCAGATTTAATTCATGCTAGCCTAATGATTTTTGACAGAGGGCAGACTGGAAGTCTTCCAGCAGAATAAACTGCTCTCCTCCATACCTGTGTGGACAGCATTTGGTGAACTGGCCATTTTATACAACTGCACACGGACGGCTTCCGTGAAAGGTATGTAACATTTCTTACAGGAACATTGCTCAGAAAGAAGCCAGTAGGTACACCTATGAGATTCTTGTTGTATCTTGATTGTCTTTGAAGTTGTCATTTAATAGATGTCTGCATCTCCTAAGTACCTATGGTAAGCTCATGTTTCCTTCTTTGAGTTTGTTCTTCCTGGGCAGTTGAACAATCCCCTGCCACTAATGTTTTTTTATCTCCGGTATGATCTTTGATAAATGGTCATGCGTCTCCAAAATAGGCTTTTTAACCAAATCTGTACCAGATTAACAACTAAGGAAGGGTTATGTTTCAGTGTAGAATGATTTAGTAGCAGAGGTGATCATTAACTCTCAATGTTCATATTTCAAACACTGATTTTTAAGTGATCTCAGATCTATATGCTGTTATCTTTTTAATAAAGCAGAAAAAGCCTAATTTGAGAAGAAATAAAACTTAAAGGAATTAGTTGCTTTTGTATTTCTTTTAGTTCCATATCACTCAGTAAGTTACTGAGTCTCACCAAGGTCCATTTGTGTATGGCATTCAGGAGAAGAATGAGTTTGATAACAGTGAGGTAGTGGGAGAGATGATATTTCTAAGGGAGACATGCTGTTTCTCCAAGACAAATATTGACTCTTGCTTTGTGTTTACTGCCTAACCACTGTCGAGTTCAGCGTTGCTGTGATATAAGTATCCATCTTCTTGTATAAGACCGGATATTAACCCATCCAGTATCCCTGGATTCCTTTTCTAGCCTGCCATCTTAATTCTCTGACAGAGCAATAAGTGAACAAATGTGGTTTTAATTCCCCATCCCCACTATTCCATTTTCCACTATCCTGCAAAAATAACTCATGTGGCAGCATATTTCTTTTCTTGTCTAAATCTTCAGGAACCTTGAACCATCAGTAAGCATGAAGAGTTTGTGTGCGCTTAAAAAAGGAGCAAAGGCACTAAAACAAGAAGTTGTTTGCTTTAAAAACTTCTGCTCCTTCTTCCTGTACCTAGTATAAGCATTTAATCATTGCTGACTCTGTAGATGGAGTAACCTCCTGTAATCTGTTTCTTTGTGGCTGCCTAATAAATAGAACAGTGTCCATAATGTGATTATTTTTCATCCTAGCATTTGAATGTTTCATATTTTTCATATTTGCCTTCTGTATAGCATTAGCATTGTAAAGTAATGGTTCAGCATAGTAAGATGTCATGCTATTTGAGACCTTTGTTAACATTAATTGGTTTTGAGGTAGGATGAGAATTGCCCAATAGTTGAACAGAAATGGTGTATAAATAGCTAAAATCTCTCCAGAACTCACTCCTCCCCACGAGCTTTCTTGTGTTTCTTGTATTGGAAGAAGAGCATCATGGTGCCACCACTGAGCACAAGTAGTGAATCCATATGTGGAAACTCTAATTCCTTTATATCACAGAAGGAAAACTGCTGAATGTGATGCAGCATCTTTTGTTTTTATTATTATTTTTTTAAAAAGCAAACACCATATTTTGCTCAAAAAAAAAAAAAAAATTAAAAGTGCAATGGGGTCTGTTGTGTCAATGGTTGCACACAGAGGCCACCCAATAGTTTACGCCTTTGATGATGGATCTTGTGCTTGCTTTCATATTTTGATTACGTTTCTAAAGGTAATTAGAAATCTATAAGGTTTGTTTTTATTACCTTCTATTCCCATAGGAAAAAAAAGCTTTTAGAGGAAGAAATATTTGAAGTTTATAGGATGACATGAAATTCCATGTATTCTTTACTTGTTATTCCTATCTTATTGTGTATCTCAAAATCAATTATATGTTATCCCAACTAGAGATTGATTCAAATCATAGTATGCAGTACTATCTATCTCCTATCAAATCGTTAGGAATTCTTATGGATTTTTCTGCTTTTTTTTTTTTTTTTGTCTGCTTGTTTTGTTTTCTTAAAGCAATCACCAATGTTAAAACATGGGCACTGGACAGAGAAGTGTTTCAAAACATCATGAGAGTGACAGCACAGACAAGGCAAGAACAATACAGAAACTTTCTTAGAAGGTAAACATCATGCATTTGAGTTTCTGAGCACTGGTTTGGGCTCTATGGTAAGATACACAATAACGTTGTGCTTAATAACATTAAGAGTACCTTAATGCCTTTGCATTAGGTACTCAATAACCTGAATACTGATCTCTTTCAATATTCTTTAGGATTCACAGAATCATTTTGTTCACTTTAATTGTCTTTTCCTGTATTGCATTAGGAAGTAGCAAGACCTGCTTGACAAAATGAATAATTTTAAGTAACTGAACAAATGTATAGGAAGGCTACATTGGCTTGAAGTCAAAACAATGTATTAAATAAAGAAAGTTAATGAAATCCTCTGACTAGAACTTAATTTGCTGCTGGTGCAGATTAACTAATATATTCGTCATCCCTTGGAGACTTGAATATGAGAACTATGTGGCTCTCTTTATGAACTCTTTCCTACATATAGTATTGGGAAGACTTTAGAGGAGTGGAGTATTTTTCCATCCTGTAGGGGACTTAGAGATGAATTGTCCTTTTTTTCTCCAGAAAAGCATGCTTCAAGTTTCCAAAACATAATTAGCAGATTTAATCTTTTCCTTTTCTTCAACTTTTTTCCCTAAGCATGGCCATTCTGATATTGTTTCAGAGATCTCAGGCCTGACCATACATAGAATGTATTTTTATGCATTTTTTTCTTGTCTCCATCTTTGATTTCTGTAAGTATTCCTATATTGAAGCCAGTAGTTGGAGAGCTACTTGCCGTCCTAACTTTCACAAGCTAGAGTTCTCAGAACAAGAGGTTTTCTCACTCATAGCAGCAGGTTCACTAAGTCAACACTGAGGCTGAATTTCTTTTAATGGCTGTAAATGTAATACTGTGTTTTTTACCTTTGTCTGATTTTGTGGTCTCTGTAATGCATTTGGAAATACATGATTGGATTATTATAATTTCTTGGTTTTAAATGGATGGGTCCTGAATGACAGAATTTTGAATTTAGAGCTTTTTCCCCAATCAAAATACAAAGTTGATTTACAAACTAACGAACGTTTGCCACGTTTCTCTAATTGTATAGGTTTTGCTTATCTAAAAAGTGAGATAGGAGTGCTTCAAGCTTCTAGATAGTGCATATTGTATACTGTGTATTTGGTTAAAAAAAAAATCAGTTTAGATAGTTACAAATTGTATTTGTGGTAATTGTTTGGATGAGAAAAAGTCATAGTGTTTATCATAATATATACATATACATTTTTTTGCTTTGCATTTCCGTTTTTTTTTTCTTTTGGTAGTGTGTCCCTCTTAAAAAACTTACCAGAAGACAAATTGACCAAAATCATGGACTGCCTGGAGGTGGTAAGATGCTGTTAGATTTATCCAAACAATGTTTATAAGTTTTAAAAATAATGAAGGATGAAAAAAATAGAAATAAATACATAAATAAATAGGAAACCTTTTCTGTTTTTTAACATGAGAATATTTTTAATTGGTCAGAGTGGGATTCCAGGTTGGCAAGAAATAACAGCAGTGCTAATACGTTTGATGAAGCTGCATTTAGATGTGTTACAGATTGGCCACTATGCCAATTTTACATAGTAGAATATCTGCATATTATTATGGGATGTGACTTGTGTTGTACACAGGACAGTAGACATCAGTAGCACATTCAGATATATTAAGAACTCTGCAAATAATCAGATTTTTCAAAGAGACTGATGACATATCAAGCAATGTGGTCTCCTCTTTTCCTCCCAACAGGAGTACTATGACAAAGGAGATTATGTTATTCGGGAAGGAGAAGAAGGAAATACCTTCTTTATAATAGCAAAAGGAAAGGTAAGATGTAATAAAACAAACTAATTATGTATACAAACACTTCTATTGGTAAAGGATAACAGGACTCTAAAGAATCAAAGCTGGAGAATTTCATCAATAAACTGCCAAGAGATTATGTTAGTTTTCCAAAGCATGTCTGCAACTGCAGATGTTTGCTGATATGGCTGAGTTGAGTTTATTTGGGTTGGGTTTTTTATGACTGTAGTCACATCAGCAGTATGAATTGTCTCCAGTTTTAATAGTTAGCACATTACCAAAAAGCCCTTGAGGAACTTATCAACATGAGAGTGTTGCTTGCAACAAACCTTTCCTGAAGATCTGAAGGAGACCATTTTGCAATCCAGACACCTGTAGGAGCTGTGTATTACATATTCATTAAATTTATGCCTTGATTTTGTGAATCAGAAAACTAAATTGAAACAGTGAAATGCTTTTTGAGAATAAGTTTTCGTCCTTTATTTTTTAAAACAGGATGGATGTTAAAAAATGTGAAGTGTAACAAATGTTAAAATTCTTTCATAAATTCTCTGGTCTTATTTATTTGTAAAGGTGGAAAATATTGGTTGCTGTTCTACAGGCTGCTTATCTGAGAAGACAAGCTCATATGATATCTGCCTGTTGCATTGCCTGTCTTGAGAAACTGAAGCATTTTTTTCAGTTTTTTGTTTGTTTTTGAAGGGGATTTATTTTATTCTGTTTTAAAAGATGTGAGGAGAAAATGTTGAAGAATGGGAAATACATTAATTTTTGCCATTTCCTAGTAAAATCTGGGAGGGACTGCAGGATGTTTGGTGGATAGGTTTAAGTTTTGAGATTAAGTACAAATTATATTTATTTGTAACTGACTGCAATATCTTTGAGTTTTAGGTGTTTATGAAATAAATAAGCCATGGGCTGCTTTGATGGGATATTTTAATCTTCCTGAATTTTTGTTCCTGTGCTTTCCAGGTAAAGGTTACCCAGAGTACTGCAGATCACTCGCAGCCTCAGCTGATTAAAAATCTGCATAAAGGAGATTACTTTGGAGAAAAGGCCCTCATTAGGTTAGTTTGCACTGATTCCTGATGTATCATATTTAAGTGATCTGTCACTGTGTGCCAGGTTATAAATATCATGGTTGTTTCGAATGTAATCCTTGTTTTAATTGTCATGTCAGCCAAGGAAGGCAATGGCTGAATTTGTCTTAATGTTTTGGTCTTTGCAGAAACAACTTTGACACTTACTCTGCCTCTTACTTTTGGTTTTCCCTATAAAAACCAAATGCTGGTCTTCTCTGTATATTTTTGCTTATATTCCAGTAAAAGCAGTAATGAGAATTTGTTGCTACAACCTCTAGATGACTACTAGCATGGATAAGCTCAATGATTACAGGAAAGAATCACTCTTTTTGTGCAAGTGCCCATGATAGTAAGAAAAAGTGAAAAGGAGTATACAGAGTACATGACCTATGAGCCATGTACCTTTCTCCAGGAACATGTTTTCAGACTTTGTGTTCTCAGAAGGCCTTCATTTATTGCATCTGAACTTTACTGATACTACTGTTTTTCATGATGTTACAACCAATCTTTGGTAGAGAAGTTGACTTTTTGCTTCTGGGGATCTTTTCCTGGTAGAAGTTATGTGTTGGATTTGCCTAAGGAAGTTCCTGTGATCACTAATTTGATTTTAAGCCTGTGATAGATAGTGCTTGCAATAAGTGAATTTTTAAAAACCTAAGCATTAGAGAGCTACTTTTTGCTCAGTACCTCAAGTGCTCCCTTACTTTAATATCTTTTCTATGCACCTTGTTGACCTTCAGGGAAGTTGTAACACTCATATCTAACAAGTTACATTAAGACCTTGTAAGGTCTTTCTTTTTAGCAGCAAATTGGATGGGTAAATTTACATAGGATGTAAAATACTTTATACTAGGCTTTTCTATAAGGTGTCAAATATGAAAAATGTACAATAAAGTCCCAAATACGTATTGACATAAAACAACCACTGAAAAGTTGGGCAAAGAGAAGAAAACTGCACTTTTTTTTTTTTTTTTTTAGAGTTCTAGATTATTCTGTTGATTTTTTATGGGCAGTCTGTGTTTGATTTGGCAACAAACACTACCGTAAGTAATTTTAAGCTGCCTAAATGTGAAAGTAATTATCTCTTACCAAGACCTATAGTGATAGGGAATTGCAATATTTTCACAGAATCTGCTAAACAGCAACAACTAAAAAGATGATTAAGGTACTTACAAAACACTCAAATCATACATAGATTAGTTTCTGGGCACCTTTAAGGTCTTTTCTATGAATATTTATTCGGATGATTGAATTGAGAATGGTGTGGGGAATATTTTATCTCTGAGAATCACCTCTGAAATGAGTAGCAAATCTGCTGCAACGCAATTTACATATTTTGCTAATATTGAGAAGGTTGCTAAAGGGAATCAAGATCTGAACCTCAGTGAAATGAGAATATATTCTTTGCTAGACTGTCATACTGACTAGTAACATACTAGAACAATTCATTCGGTTCAGCAGTACTAACTCAAATGCAGGCTGTGGAGGCCTTCCAGGAGTTTCACCTAAAGCAGCTGTGATCCTCCAAGAGTAAATACAGTGTAGAATACTTTTAGGATTTGACATTCTTCTGAATTCTTCTAATTTCTGTCATTTCTTAGTGATGATGTCAGATCAGCAAATGTTATTGCGGATGAATATGATGTGGAGTGCCTCGTAATAGATAGAGAGTAAGTATTATGCTGTGCCTTAAGGAAAGACTTGCATTCTTTTTCAGCTGGTCAACAACAAGAGGTGACTACAGTGTAGGCACAGTCACAGTGTTTTCTTAAGTGAATACTGGGTGCATGATTATCCTTCTGGTGCAGTGATTTGTCTTTATGCTTTAGTCAGACATCTAATGAAAAGAGGCTTGATGGAAGGCACAGGGGCACGGATGCTTGAGGGCAGTTTATTCCTTTCTTTCTCTCCTTGTGCTGATGATGTTTCGCATTGTTAAATACTGTTCCTTGGCTCTGGGAACAACAAAAAGCCCATGCATGTCCTTGTTTAGGGGATATTCATTTGTCAAGGATGCCGTGCAGCCAAATTGCTGATTTTTGTCCAGCAGAGGCCAGCTGCATGCTTCCTAAAGTGGAAAAAAATAAAAGGAATAGTTAGAGGATGTAAGGAAGAGAATTAGCAGAAATAACCCAACTTTCTCGGTGTTCATTCTCTGAGTTATTTCAGTATAACAGGAAATGAGGAGACCAGGCATTCTGACAAACCAGGTTTGATATTTCAGCAGGTTAGCAGCTAGTCAAAGCTCTGAAAATGTATACCAGCTAAGCAACAGTACATAAAACCCTGATGCAGCAACATGGATTTTGGTTTCTCTCCTCATAATATGTATGGTAGTTTATGCTGTTTCCTTGATGATTTTAGGACATTTAATCAAACTGTTGGAACTTATGAGGAGTTACAAACCTACCTTGAAGGTTATGTGGCTAATCTGGCCAGGGCTGATGAGAAGCGACATGCGAAGTAAGTCAGATCCTTTGTTTGACGTATTATTGATAATCACAAAAAGAGAGAGATACATCTGTAAAATCATGGATGGTGGATCATTGATGGAGATCATTTGGGAATGATTGGAATCACTAGAATAGAACTATCTGGGTATGCTGCTTATGGAGTCCAAGGACTTTTCTGAAAATTAGAATACAGAGAATCTCAGTGCATTTACTTGCAACCAGGTGCTCAATCTGTCCAAGAAAACTGAACACAGAGAAGCAGTGAAATTGTGCTTGTGTGATGTACTTTTTTTTTGCATTCTCATGATGAGTTCCTTGACCACTAAAGTCACTAAAGGTCAGCTTCAGCTTCTGAAGTTGTTAATAAACCACATAATTGTGGTTCTATTGCGGTGGCTACACAGCCCTGCAGAAACTTTTTCTCCAATGTGAGTGCCCAAAGTTTGTCGGCTGACTCCTTCATTAGGGACCTCATCACGAATCAGCTCAAGTTTTAACCTGACATTAACACTTAACATTGTTAGTACTTGATTAATTTCAGAAGGATTTCACTTTCAATTTACTTTTAAATGTTGTCCAGAAATAAAGTGGTTCTGCACAGAATAAATGAAGATAACGTTAGGGAGAGGAAGGCTTTCCTTTTCCCTTTTTTTCTTTTTTCCTCTGTTTTCCATTTCCTCTTTATAGGATTATTAGAGTCCTGTGATATGTTTTGCTGTCAAGGAAATTACTAACCTATGGTAATTGTCTTAATGCAGAAGAAGATCCTTCTGTGGACAGTCAACCAAAGAGGTGTCTTTGGAGATGATACAACTGAAGGAGAAAGTAGCCCAGTTCCCTTCTTCCCCATTCCAGAATTTAGAAGTTGTCACAACTCTCGGCGTTGGTGGATTCGGAAGGGTTGAGCTTGTAAGAGTTTGTTTTAAACATATTTACATAGTTCTCGGTCTTAAATCAAATCTTTGTCATAATTAAGCCATTAATTGCTTTATTCTGAGCCACGCTTCACAAACCAGATTTCCATACTGGTTTATTGCCAGTTTGGAAATTCTACAGCATCATCTGGAAAACAAACAAAAATTAAATTTTCAGCCAGCTGTAAATGACTACTACTTGGAATTTCTGGGAGCCCTGTTTTAACTTCTTTTTTTATTTACTTTTTATTTTTTACATTTTGGATAGTAGTTCAGTGTAATGTGAAATCACTTGTAAACATTCTTCACAAACAGACTCTGCGTTTTGTTAATTTGTGTTGTACTGGTGTTCAGTGATTTTAAATTGAAATTAGGTCTCATTGTGGTAAAGTAGCTGTAGGATAAATAATCTGTTAAAACTGATGCTGTTTGGTGCATGTAAAATGGGTGAAGAGAACATTTCATTTTTCAAGTAAAGACTGGGATCCCAAAAAATGTGACGATTGTCTTAAAATCATACTGAGTAGCTGTGCAGAAAATCTGAAATCTCCCCTTTGCTACAGTCATCGGTTTCAATGCTGTGCTGTGTTGAAAGAGAAGGCTTATCTATTGGGAACAGATGGGCAAACCTTTTTTTCTTTATCCTGTATGCACTCATTATTTTTATTCACAGGTTAAGGTAAAAAATGAGAACGTGGCATTTGCTATGAAGTGTATAAAGAAGAAACATGTAGTGGACACCAAACAACAAGAGCATATATATTCTGAAAAGAAAATCCTTGAGCAGATATGTTCTCCTTTCATTGTGAAGTAAGTTGGCTGTAAGATTTCCTTAAATCTGACCCACCGGTCAGCGTGAAGAATGAAGTTTTTGGCATAAATGAGTGCTGGAGAAAAGGCATTGTGGATCTTGCATTTCATCTGGCACATCCTAAATAGCTGCTGTTTGCCTCCACAGACTGTATCGCACATTTAAGGATAATAAGTATGTGTACATGCTGCTGGAGGCGTGCCTTGGTGGGGAGCTGTGGAGCTTGCTGAGAGACAGGTAAGCTTCATGTACAAGTAAGAGTAACTTTATATACAAATAGAGAGGGATGTGTGGAATATGGGGAAGGGAGTGAGTGAAGTTTGTTCTGAGATAAGACTGCATTATCAGGTAACTATCAGCAGAGCAGTTTTGGAAAAATCGTCAAGAAAATATGACCTGGATCAATTCATTTATACAAGCAGGCAGATGCAGATGCTGCAAGGAAGTTAGGAGAGATTGTCTCTCCTGCCTTTTTCTTCATATACAGAGATATAAAATCCAATCTGACACCATGGGACAACCAAATCAGGCAAGAAATATGATCATAATTTGGTTGAAGGTACTTTTGAATAAACAATACTGTTGTCCTAACAAAATGCTTGATTTATATTGCACTTGGAAGTGCAGTCCTTCAAAGGAAACTCAAGTGATCTTGTTTCCTTTTCTTTAACAGAAAGTTTCTAAGGCAAATTTGTTAGAGAGAGGTTGTGCTCTGAAATACCACGTGGCATTTTTTCTTAGTTCTCAATTTTTTCTTTTAAACTGTGTTGTCATTTGGCTCTGTTATTATTCAGTGGCTACATTTCACAGTCAGTGGATATTGTTATGCATTTAAGCCTGTCTAGACTTTTTTATTTGCAGTGGGAGATGATGTATCAATGAAAATATTCAAAACAGGCTAAGTGACATACAAGATCCAATGATTCAAACACTGTCCCATGAAAAGATTCATTTTCAACCACAAGTGACATTCTGAATGCCAGTGCAAAAGCAGTTGTTAGCATTCTGGGTGTTACATGCTATCTGGCTAATGAGTGAGGTACTTTTAGAAGTTGATTTTGTCTGCATGGATAATGATTTTCTTTCAGAGGCAGCTTTGATGAACCCACTACAAAGTTCTGTGTTGGATGTGTGACAGAGGCTTTGGACTATCTACATCACATAGAAATTGTCTACAGAGACTTGAAGCCAGAAAACTTAATTTTGGATGCTGAAGGATATATAAAATTGGTAAGATGCACTTTTATCTTGTTGTACCCAGGTGCTGTTAATGTAAAGGCAGGATCCACACTTCCCAGGTGCAGCCTCAAGTAGTCACAGGCTCTACATTATTTCAGTTGAGAGGGAACACAACAAACAGCTCTTGCCTGATTGGACTGACATTAAAAGTAGAAGTACAGTGCTCTTTAGAGAGCTTCAGACATCTGTTCAGAGGATTATAAGCAACCCATCTTTTTCCGTGGGTTGTAAGTCTTGTGTCCACAAGAAAGGCATGGGTTGTTCTACCCAGAAGGAAAATCATTTGGGAAATTACTCATGAGAACAAATGGGATTATCCTGTAGCATTCAGTGATCCAGTAGCATTACTTCTTTCTCCTTCACAACAACACTGTAATTGTTTAGCTATAAACTGCTGACTGTGAGATCTCTGCAGGAGGTGTGGAAGCAGTGAAGACCCTAAAGCTTCCCAATAACCTCTTCGTTATGCAGCATCTATTGGTTTTGATCAGGTTGATTTTGGATTTGCAAAAAAGATCGGATCAGGGCAGAAAACCTGGACGTTCTGTGGAACCCCTGAGTATGTTGCTCCAGAAGTCATTCTGAGTAAGGGCCATGACTTCAGTGTGGATTTTTGGTCCCTTGGGATTCTTGTGTATGAACTCCTTACTGGCAGGTAAGTGCCCCCTACTCCAAGTTCTTTCTCCATTTATTTTCTTTTTAAGAAGGTTGTTTGTAAAATAAACACCTTGTTATTCTTCTCAGAGTAAATACGGATGACTTGCAAAATGGTATGTCTTCTTGTCTCTTATACACAAGTGATCATGCAGTATCCTTGATTCCTACAGGCAGTTTCTCAGTTTCACACCTTTCAGGCATTTCAAACAGGCTGAAACACAGGTTGTCGAAGCAGAAAAATGGTTGGGTTTTTTCCGTGTTCTCAAATATTTGCTCTGAGCCATTCCATACAACAATGTGCTTTCTTTTTCCAGCCCACCATTCTCTGGAGCTGATCAGATGACAACATATAATTTGATTCTAAAAGGCATTGAAAAACTGGATTTTCCTAGAACAATAACAAGGCGGCCTGAGGATTTGATCCGCAGACTCTGCAGGTAGGATGCTTTGTGACAGAGCCTGGGTATAGACAGGTTCAGCTATTTAAGATAAAGATCAGACTGCTAAGTTCCTTTCAACTTCATTTAGCTACTCCTCACAGCACTGTGATGTGGTCATGGCTTCCTGGAACATTTTACCATACTCAGAAGAAAGGAGCAGGGAGCAACTTCTTTATGTCTCTCAATGTAACTACATTTTGTATGCAAGCTTCCTCCTTGCAGAACTGTTCAGTGCAAGCAGTTAGGACATATAAACGCTCTTACCCAAAAATAAGAATGTTTTTTCAATCTTTTTTTTTTTTTTTCTTTCTTTTTAAAGGCAGAACCCGACAGAAAGATTAGGCAATCTGAGGAATGGGATTAATGACATTAAGAAGCACAGGTAAGTGAAAAAGGCTGCCAAGAAGAAAAAGTGCTTCTCAATTGGAAAATACATTTAATATTTTAGAGCTCAGTTCAGAATCTTGCAAGGCTCCAGGCACTTCCAGGGAGTTTGCAAAAGAGATATTCCTGTGCGTATCTATGCTACGACAGCAGGCAACACTATAAACAAAAAATCAGCTAGAAACACCCTGGTTACTGTTTTGTTTGTTTGTTTGTCACAGGTTAGTGACATCAAAGTTGGATTAGGTTAATTAATGAGAAGTCAGTGCCTGTAGAATTCATGTCTGCCCTTTTAGACCTTCTGACTCTTTGATCTAAAACCAAACAGTTGTTCTTTAAGAGCAGGACTTAAGAGTGTTAGCTTTATATCCTCTTCCTTTTAATGAAGGAAGTCCACAGTGGATTAGACATTTCCTGCTTTTTTTTTTCATCTGAGTGATTTCTAAGCCCTGCAGTTTGTGCCTGAGAAAAGAAATGCTTCGACTCTTCTATGAGTGTCTATTCTCTCATGTCCTTAAAAGGATGCTGAATTCCACAGGGCATGCACATCTTTGCATGGCTGTACTTACAACAGTCCTCAAGTTTTCCCCTTCTCACAACCTTGTGGCCACATGGGCAGTTGTCATGTAAAGTGGCTTAGAACCCTTGCTTGCATGTGTTTAAGTTTTTAACTATATCATCCTTCTAACAGAAGCTAACAGGTTTCTTTTTCTGGATCTCTGTCTCTATAATCTCCCATTTCTTTTTGATCAGGTGGTTGAATGGCTTTAACTGGGATGGTCTGAAATTGAGGAAATTAGCATCACCTTTAAAAAGAGAGGTATTGGCTTTGGTGTTCAATTTCATAAGGCTTTACTAACACAATTGTGAAGTGTCTCTCTGCAGAGAAACAGCAGAGGACAAATGCAAAATTTCCCAGAGATGGACATACATTATTATAACTCTCCAGTTCATTGAAAATTGAAGGAAGAAAGGATATATCCAGGCAACACTTAACTTAAATTCAATTAGATAAATGAAATGCTATTCTGCCTGTGTATTTTACATAAGATTTTTATCATTATTAGAATAAATTGTGATGATTTATTGATGAATAGTGAAAAAAAATGTACTTTCTGAGACGGGTGTTAAGATTGTTAAGATGCACTGTCACATGAATGTGCACAATACAAACGTGTATTTTATGCTATGAGAGCACATCATTGCACAAGATTTGTGCTTTAAATGGCCCATTTATCTTTGGTGTGATATGAAAATAGATTGAGTGTAGATACTCTGAAACTCACTTTGGGTTGAACTTAATAACTCTGGGATCTAACTTTGAGAAGTCACCTCATGGGTGTAGATGTGATCTTAAACAAATTTGAATCAAAGATTTACCTAGTGTGGCCCAGTCTTATTAACTTTAGAGAGCTTTGGGTGACATCTAGGATTTTGCAGTAATGGGGGAATGTTTTTGTATCAGGAGGCTAATGGCTTTACACTGTTGTACAAGTTAATTGCTGTTACTTTAGCTTTTAAAGAATACAGAATTTCACCCATTGAAAGAAAGGATCCATATCATGTTGGCCTTTCATTCCTACACTGGTAGCAATATAAATGATGTCTAATGAATAGAGAGTATTTCAAATATTGACTTCTGAAATAACCATCTGATTTATTTTTAATGCCACAGCTATCTGGACCAACTGATTACAGCTACTTTGACAGCTATCCACCTGAAGAGGGAATGCCTCCAGACGAACTTTCCGGTTGGGACAAGGATTTCTGACACTTTTTTCTTCCAGGACATCTATAGAGACTCATGGGCATCAGTTCTAAAGCTGTTCTTGTGTTTCTTGCTTAAAACCAAAGTACATGATGTTATTGAAAAATGTTATGCTCCTTGGAGAATAGAAGACGGTACAGCAACCAGAACTTGTTTGGATATTGCACCAAATTCTGTGTGCATCTCCTTATAACAAAAGCATGCAGATGCAACCTGAATCCTTTTTGAATACGCAATATCTTTATGAGCATTTACTGACACTACGAATGGGATGCATGGTTTTGCCATTGGGAATTTTACTAGCATATTTTGATATCAACAAGGTTGCCACATGTCTTTATTTTGAACAGAGAGAATGAAGATTATGGGCCCATAACTTTGTGGAATTTGTCAATACCTGACACTACAGGCATTTATTTTTCATTTTATAACGAGTTTACTGTGCGTTTTGCTCTTTCCAGTAATGGGCAGTCCTGCATTGATCCAGAAGCATGTAGAAGACTTTTTTTACAAGACTGATTTGACTTGATGCTGCAGCTTAAAGGGTATCAGTGTGGAAACTGCCTCTCTCTCTGTTTAATTCTGCACCAGGTTGATCATGTGGAACACGGTACAACAGGTCAAATGGAAATCCAGCTGGGAACTAGGTAAATGCATAATAGATTTTCCTGGAGAAGCAGACTGGTATAACTGCTTCAAAGAACTATGTCTGCATCTTACAATGTTGTGCTTTTATGTAGCGTGAAGCTAAAATAGATAGAAAAAAAGTATCTTGCAAGAAGAAATATGTAAGTACAGAATATTTTGTCCTTCAAATATATTTTCAATGATATTTTTCTTTCATTGGTATTTTGCTGTAATTATGAAATTTGCTGAAACATCAATGCTAAAACTCACACTCATTTTGATGTCCTACTTGCTATCAGGAAATATGGATACATGTGGGTGGTAGGCATAAATGAAAAAAGGACAGCTGCTGACTTGGTGTTTCCCAGTGAACTAATACCCCAGATGAGCTTTACAATCTCCATGCAGGTTTTCAGGACATGATCAGGCAGAGACTTGAGCAACTCAATTTGGACTCAGTGTTGACCCTTCTCTGAGTTGGAATGAAGACCTCCCATGATCCTGTGACCCCAGGAATTAATTTTATCAGTCAGCTATTTGCATAATTACAATGTATCATGACACTTTTCTCTATATGAATTTGTAGATACTTAATGTCTGTATTATTAGAACAGAAGAGTTCTTTTGAAATGTTGATTGGATGATAAATGCAGTTGGGTGTGGAGTGCTCATGAATTAAGCATAGAACTCTCTTGCACCCTACTATGAAGGCACGGCATCTTCCTGGGGATCATGCTGGTATTCTTGCATCAATGCATCTGTAGCCCTTGATAGAAATTTGTTCTTAACCTAAATTAAGATATTTAAACTGCCGTGGCACACTGCATTTCACGTGCTAGATGGAAAAACCTCCTAGGAAACTTGTGACGTGTGTTCAGGGCTTCTTAACTGACACTGGCTGACTGGTTATGACCTATCCAACTGGACAAAGAAGGGTTTGCCACTGAGGCTGTCCATTTTCCCCATTTTTGATGAATGAAAGAATCAGATCTTCCACTTCTGAGGTCAGTGTCAAGCTACTGTTTGCCCTTAGTTAAAGCGTAGGGAGCTGGGGCTGTATTTGATGAGGAATGTGTGTTTTGTTTTGAGGTGGAATTGCTCTTCACTGAATCTCTGCCTGATGAACTGCAGAATGTGCTGTAGGGGGACACTCATTTGGCTGTTTTGGGCAGAAATTTAACAAAATGTTTTCATTAAAAATTGTAGGTAACAAGGAAATCCTTGAACTAATGTATTACATTGTGTAGGCTAATTGATTTGTTCCACGTTAACAAATATTTTTTTCTTGTTGAACAGTCAGACAGATTGATTTTCTTTGACAGAAGATCAATTTAAATATTTTGTACAGCATTCAGCCCAAGTAAAGGCAGCAGAGTCCTTTCCATTGGAAAATAATCAGGTCAAAGAGGATGGATTGGAGGCTTTAAGCTAGGACTAGTGCGTTAGTCCCTTTTAGCAGCTTCACTTATTACCACCAAAAAACAGATTTTCATTTCAGGATTTAGGCAAGAGTAGATGTTGTGGATGTGTGTTTCTGTGTGTCTCTGTCTGTCTCTCATACATATTTTTATGATAGTCAAAAGAATATTGAGTCAGATTTTATAAAAAGATTTTGAATGTATTTTTCCATCGTATCTATAGGTAGTTTTCCTTGAGATACATAACAATGAAAATATATATCATTTTTTAAGTGAAGAAATATAAGTGAGTGCACTGTTCATGGCAGTTAGCAATTAAGCCTATGGAACAAGAGGATGTTTTGTTTATGAAGAAATCGAGTTGCTTGTTTAACTTGCAGTGTGTGCAAATAAAAAAATAAGCTTGCAGTGCAATGGGTAGGACAGTGCCTTTTTTAGTCTCATTCCACACAGCAAAATCACTGAAGTTGGAAATGACCTCTAAGATCATCTAGTCCAAGTATCAACACCTTGCTCTCTCAGAGAATCATTGAAGTTGGACAGGACCTCCAAGATAATGAAGTCCAGCTGTCAGCATGTCTCTCACTTAGAAGAGAATCCAGTACCAACAGATTCAGCGGCATTGAAAAAATAATCTTATTTTGATGCTTACCCCATAAAATTGGCTTCACCAGTTTAAAAATATATTTGAAAAAGGAACGTACCTCAATTACATGAGACAGTAACACTAAATCTGTGAATCTTTATCAAGCATTCTCATTGGCTCCCAGAGCAGATAGAAAATAGGTTGTATAATAAGCTTAGTATAGCATTTAACATAGCTATGTTATGAGTAAGTATAGTGTGTTGTCCCATTTTTTTTTTTCCACCGAATCATAGAATCCTTAAGGCTGGAGAAAGTCTCTAATCTCACCACTTCCAGCCTCCCACCCCATCACTACCATGTTCATTGACCATATCCATCAGTACCACATGAAATATTTTTGCCTTCGTCACTCTGGCCTAACCTTACTAGGTTTTTTTATTCCAATAGCCCAATAGTCTTTAAAAGAAACCGAAATTCACATCACTGCAAGCTCCCTGAAATGTCTTTAAGAGCAACATGAATGCATCCTCTCAAAAAATCTCATTCTCCCTCTGTTTGTCAGGCGTGAATTAACATGCTGCTTGCCAAAGGAAAACCCTGTCAAAAACACATCTTCAGCTGATGGTACATGGTGACCAAGTCAGGAAACAGTTTTAGCTTTGCAGATGATACAAAAGTTTATTGGGAAGTAAAGTGCTCATTTTAAAGATCAATACATTCTTGATCATTGCAGAAGGCTCACGTAATTAACAGCTTGCTAATGAGACCAAGCACTGTACATAGCTTTTCTATACAAAACCTTAATTTTAAGTGAAAAAATTGTGCTAGAATCTACAATAAAAAAACAAGATAATATGAATGTTCAGAACATTCGTCATGCAGCCATGCACTTATTGCACAGCTATTGTCACACACATGGATATCCCATTGGAACTACATGCACTTCAAGATGAAGTTTGTTATAAGGATAGAAATTGCTATAGAAATACACATTAATACATACAGCTAGGAATGCAAATTCATTTTCATTAAAAAAAAAAAAAAAAAAAAAAAAAAAAAAAAAGTAGTACAAAGGAAGATAAGTGCCATCTTTGGGAACAAGGCACAGCTGACAGCCTTCTTGCTAAGACAATATGCCGCAACAGTGGTGGGCAAAAGAGTGCTGTACCTCAATGCTTTCTATTGGAAAGCTATTGGAAAGCAATGTTTTACCTTCAGTGGTGCATCTCTTCTTCCAATAATAAATCATCTATGACATGGAAGGCACAGAAAGGACCTCCTATTTATCCTAGGAACACAGCAAAACATGGCAGAAGAAAAAGAAAAAAAAAGAGGCACTGTGTGACAGAGGTGAAGATGACCATATTGATTAGGTGTGGAGAGGCAGTTCTTAAACATTACTTTTAAAATGCTGTCAAAACAGAAAGAGGCACTATGTGTATAGTTTCTATTGCAGAGTAACCCGATTAACAAGTTACAAGCTAAGAGCACTTCCTCTGCTTAATGAAACATAGTATTTAAAAATAAAAAAGGAGGAAAAAGGACATTTTATATTAAATAAAATGTCAGTAAGCCAACAATAACTCCAGGAAAAAAAGAATAATACACACTTAAAAAGAGATGCTGTTTTGACTCTTGCCAAGTGCCAGCTGATAAAATGAATAGGGTGATAACTGATGCTATTTTCCTTTTAAAAAGTGCTTTTCAAAGCTTTTAAACATTGTGTTTTTCTAGTAGACAGCAGAAAACCCACAGCCTATCATTGGAATGCTTTAGTCATAGTGTCTTTTGTCTAAAGCTTGTTGACCTCATGAAACAATTTGTGTATAGAAACTGGAATAGATGTATGGAAACAGAATTCTGTCCAGGTAGATTTTGTCACATCTGGCTTCCATTCTACCTCTGCATTTTCATTTCTAAGGCCAACAGTCTCAGTGTTGGTGACTTGGACCTGGCACGCGCTTGCAAAGTTCTCAAAATACCTTATGAACAGAGTATTTATTTCACCTACCGCTGAGCTTGCCTTTAGTGGTCAGATCAGGACGATGACCTCATTCTGGGAAGCAGTGGTGTAGTTGACTTGATGGTGACTGAACAGCAAAGCCTATGCTACACATGGAGGTTATTAGCCCCATTTCCTCCTCCCCCATCAATGCCATCTGACTGCGAGGAGGACGGCCGGGAGCTCCTCGACCGAGGCTGCCCGTTCAGTCCCAGTGGTGTTCCCAGACGATGGCTCATCTGAGATGCTGTGTCATCTGACTCCCACCTCTCCAATTCCTCTCGTACCAGCCGCTCCATCTGCTCCCTGTGGATCTCATTGTCACGGCCCAGCCTCTCATCCTGAACAGATAGAGATACAAGATGGAAGTGTAGTTCCCAAACTGCAGCCCATTCAAAATCCTATTCTACAGATAAAGTAATCCCTTCCTGTGTGAAACTCCTACGCCACCCTTTATTTTGCAGGCTACAACCAAATCACAGCTGCTATTCTGTAGTAAATGGCTTTCTTGAAGTAACGTAAGTCCCAGATTCTCACTTTCACTTGTGAAAGCATGGTTTGCATTACAATATTTAGCCTGCAAATCTATCTCCAGAAATGTAAAATATATTATGTGCCCTGCACTCTGTCAGACTTCTCCATGGAAAACTCTCTAACCATCACAACAACCAAGGAATGAGTGAGCTTCCTCAGAAGCTACTGAATGCCACCACTATCCCTGTTCAGGGCATTAAAAGGTGCTCTGTGGCCTCTGCATGACACAGGTCTTCTAGAAGATGGGTCCTCATATCCAAAACTCGTTTCAGATCTCTTTATAGAGTCATAGAATCATTAAGGTTGGAAACCTTAATAATTAAGGTTGGTCACATTGGTGACCTCTAAGGTCACCCAGTCCAGCCATTTACTCATCCCCTCTGTGTCCACTAGCCTTTTCTCTCATGGCCACATCTACACAGTTCTTGAACACCTCCAGAAATGCTGACTTCACCACCTCCCTGGACAGCCCAAAACAGCAAAACAAAACTCAAGACTGCTCAGCCTGAGAGAAGCCCTGCAATCTTAGCACAACTCCCTTCACCCTCCCAAGGCAAGCAGAAGAGAAATGTACTAACACCAAATAAGACATACAGTCCGTGACCATGAAGTGATGGCACAGGACTGAGGTGAGGACACTGACCTCTGTCACTCCATCCAACAGCCTTCCCAACACATCTCTCCTTTTCAGTTTGGCTCTCTCCATCGCTTCCAGCTTCACAATTACTGCATCAATCTTGGAGACGATGCTGCCAATGGAGTGCTCCATGCGATCCACCCTCCTCATGAGTCTGAGGGCAACAAACAATTTTAGCTTGTTAAAAGCAAGAGCTCAAGTTCTCACTAAGCTTACAAACCTCAATACTAAAAAAAACAAATTTTCTGACTTGACAGTGACATAGCCATTTTCTCTCCTCAATGACCAGATTTGAAGTTTTTTCTTTTGGGTAGTAAGGAGCAGTTCCAACTGGTTCCTATGAGCTTCTCTGAATTACACGCAATTCAGATATGACTTGAAAGCTATTAAATGGATTGACTTCAGCACACAGAAAAAGTGTAACTTTTTTCTGATTTTTTTTTTTTTTTCTGAATTATTCAATGAATATTTGGAATTATAGGAGAGACTACAACATGTCTTAAACAACAACAACAAAATCACACACACAAAAAAATATCACCCATGCAGTTTTGCTTTCTCAGCAGGATTAACTTACACTTGAAACTCTTCATAGGACACTCCACTAGAGCTGCTTCCCCTCCTCCTTGAGCTGTGCCCGCTGTCCTCATCTTCATCTTCCTCAGAGTCATCCAAGCTCCGAGAAAAGCTGCGGCTGCTCAGAGGACGTGGCAGAGAGCTCCTGTCCAAGTCCAGATCCTCCTTTATGAAAACACAAGACGCAGATAGGAAAGAGGTAAAGGCTTCCACATGGGGCCGGGGATGTCCAGACTAAGGACCATCAGCTCCATGCTCCACCTTGCACAAGAAGCATCATCATCAGCACTGATGGAATGCTATTTCTATTGCCAACCTCACCCTCTCTTTCTCCAAGTCATCTCTCATCTGCTGGTGCTCATGCTCTGTCAGTTCCTGATCCCCATCCTGATCATATTTGGTAAATATTGCCTCAATCTCTGCATCCGTGTGGCCCTTCCTGAGAAGGAAGTAAAAACAGAACCCTTTTTGTTTTTCAGGTGCAAAAACAACTTTGTTTTAGAAAAGCAATATATTCACAACAAACTTTTATAGTGAGCCAAGATACAACCGAATCAAAAGTTGTTTGCATTTGTATTAAAGGCATCACAGAGGCAAAGGAAACTTGTCAAAGACTTAGTGTCAAACATTTGGATATAGAATTCAAGGTAAAAGTAGTAACAGCTTCCTTACCCTTTTAGATCTTGCCGGAGTTCATCAAAATTTAGTTTTCCTCCACCTTGTCTCAAGCTTTCTGAAATGTCATCAACAGTGGTTTTCTTTAATTTAAGTTTGACCATGGCTTTATTATAGCCCTAAAAGAAAAAAAAAAAAAAAAAAATTTCACCTGGTGTGCAACATTAACACAATGTTAATAGGCTTCTTTTGATTGCAGTTCCAAAGTTTAAAAGTCTGAATTACTGATCCATGCCCAGTATGTGTTCACATGTTTCTGACCATGGTACAGCCCCACACTCACACCAGATAGCACACAAATGCACGTGCGTTTCCAAAACTGAAATTCAGGTCAAGCTCATAAGTCTGTGGTGGGCAACCCAACTGGCAGCCTATCCTCGAGGTGCCCAACACATAATCAA